AGACAGACAGACAGGCAGAGATGGAAGGTTGCACCTGGGTGATTTTTCAGGGGTCACAAGCCAGGGAGTAAAGGGGGCCATTGCTGCCTGTCTTCCCGTGGACAGCACTAACTGCAGGTAGCTGGAAACTGTCGCCCTGACATGCTGTTACTTTTGCCGTAACAGTAAATCCACTGGATTCTGCTGAATAACACATGAGCTCGAGCTGTCTGTGGAGGCTTGGGAAGAAATTGTCACATTGGAGTCAGCCAGAAAGAAAAGTTTCGGAAGGCAGGGTTGAAGGTTAAGTTTCCCATATGGGCCCTAGTGACTGATAGAGTGGGTTTTATGAATGCTGGCTGAGTGCTGGAATGAGTGCACACCATTAGTGTTCCTTAATGCGCCTCCCCAGTCTTTAATACTTTAAGATGGCGCATTTTTTGACCCTTCTAGAAAAAAAAAAAAATCACCTGTCTCGCACTTGGGCCCACATTGGATGCTTTATGTGTTTCTATCACAGCACCTGTAACACTTTGTTGCCCATGGTTTCACTTCTAACTTCCTCTACTAGACTATAAATTCCTCAAAGCAGGAACCTTGTCTCATCCATCTTCATAGACCCCCTGCCTCACAGGGGATGTTGAGTAAATATTTTTTTTTTTAAGAGGGTGAGAGGTTGACTATTTCTTAAATTGGTTTGAAATTAGGCCTCTGTTCAAAGCAGCTCTGGGCACTAGCAGACACATCGCACCTGCCCTTTTACCAAAATGGGGACATGATTTGGGCCGTAAGCCTACATCCATGAAGGGCATAGACTCAGACATTCTTAACATTAGTAATAAAGTCCTTAGATGTGTACACAAAAGAAGGAAACACTTTCTGACAAGTGAGGGGACAGACTGCCCCGTGAGGTGGCAATTCTGCATGCCAGAAGGGCTGAGCAGAAAAGAACTCGCCACCTGCCAGGAATCTATATGGTTGAGGAGAACCCTGTTTTGAGGAGCAGAGTAGGCTAGCTTGGTGATCTTCCTCGAGGAAGACGGACCATGTCAGGGTCCATGGTGACCGATGAGCAACAAAAACAATGAGAAGCTAGTGTCACTGTTCTAGAAGCCCTAGGGAAAAAAAGCCAAACACCATTATCTGGATTGGTAGGCACTGCAGAAAATATATTGACAAAGTTTTGAGATATATAAGTGAAAAATGGTGAAAAAGACTTGACTAATGTTTTCTTGGTCCTTCCAACAACAACAAAACTGATTCCGTGGCACATTTTTGAAAGGGAGCATATGGCACCATTTGTGCTTATCATCATGCCCAGCATATGGCAAGTAGTCAAGAAATCTCTCATTGGTTAATTGATTGATTCATTCAGCACGACTCGATAGGCAAACATTTGTTGAATTAATGATTGAATAAACAAAAGAGCCTTCCTTTCCAGGCTTAACAGCCCTACTTCTCTCAAATCTTGTAACTTTGACCTGTTGTTTTGCACATCCCCCCGGTGCTGCTGACTCTGCCCTGGACAGCCTTCAGTTTCTTAATGTCCCTCATGATCCAACTCCCAGAGCCATACATCATACTCTATCTTTAATTGAGTGACCCACCAGGATCAGGCATGGCCATAAGCATCGCCTGACACCGAAAACAAAACTCCTGCTGTTCTGGAAGGCCAGGCATCAGAGATGTCATAGCTTAAGGTTTGTTTGTTTGTTTGTTTTTCTAAATGCATCCAAATGGGACTGCGAAAAACTAGGGGTAGTTTGCACGTGTTATATGTTTGTTGCTTTATAACCCCTTTGGCCCAAAGAGATGTTATATTTAGTCCTGGGCATGGCCTTTGGACTCCGAGCCTGTGCCAAGTACCAGGCTAGAAAGCTGTGAGCCAGGACACGAGCCAGCTTATTTGAAGCACATTACATCAGACATTTCCTGAGGTGGAAAGGAAGTCCTCCTTGCTAGAAAGCAGGGAGGATTTTGGCTCTTAGAGGCTGGATTCAGTAACTTTAACTCTTTGGCTAAGGGCCAATCCTCTAGCAAGCAGCTATCATATGGTCTGCAAAAAATTCAGATCCAAAGTCTCCAGCCCCCGTTTTATGTGTTGACACCATAGCCTTCTTTGAGAGATGGATTGCCTTTTGGAGCAGTGGGGGGGGGGGGGGTTGGGGGGGGGAGGGACAGCTTTTAGAAAAGGAGAGACGTTAGAAAATCTGATTAAAGATTTTATAAGAGATTAAAATAATCTTACTAACTTGTCTCAATTTGAGGGGTAATGTTGACTTTGTAAGCAGAAAATGATAAGCCCTGAATTAAAATGCTGTCCAAAAAAGTGCTGTCATCCATCACTTTTTTTTTCCTTTTCAAGTTAAATAAAATCATATAATGTGCAGTGAGGGATATATTAGTGTTAAATATTACATTTATAAATTAAGCCCTAATGATAGTTTCTCAATTAACTTTAGAAATTGACTTTGCAGTGAAGAAATTTGATCTCCACAACACTTGAAGTTAAATATTTTGTGACTCCAAAGTCTTCCCCTCTCTCCATGAGCCACATAGGCTATTTTGACCTGTATGTGCCAGCGCCTCTGTGGTCAGAACATTATAGCACTACTCAGATGATTAAAAACAACAACAGGGACGCCTGGGTGGCTCAGGGGTTGAACATCTGCCTTCAGCTCAGGTTGTGATCCCGGGGTTCTGGGATCGAGTCCCGCATGGGACTCCCCAGGGAGCCTGCTTCTCTCTCTGCCTTTCTCTCTATGTCTCTCATGAATAAACAAATAAAACCTTAAAAAAAAAAAAAAACAGCACCACCACCACCAACAAAAAACCTTATTAATGATACAGAGGCCGCAGCAGCCGCCTCTCCAATCTTCAAACTGAGTCCTGGAGTGCAGATGAAGCTGGTTACAGTGGTTTTAGCGTCCATGAGAGGACAAGATACAAAATACCTTTGGGTGCATTATCCTACTGTTACTCTTTATATCTGAAAAATATGGGGCTGCGATAGGGCCTTCTGCAGTTTATGAGCTGAGGCTCAGGACAGACAAGTTCCCAAGGCATCTGCTGGGCTTACAATCCAAGGCTTCTGACAGATGGATGCTTTCCTCACTATAAATTCTCCAGGCTCCGGAGCACCTATGTCCCGGCGAACAAAGGGGGGGGGGGGGGCCGGATCTGGTCAAGTGCTTTAGCCGGACCGTCCTGTGGTCTAAGCTCGGAGTCTCGGGTGTAAACTCTGGATACTCCCATCTTCTCTTGTGGGAAAATGGATCTGCTACTATTTGATCCCGACCCTGAAGGGGTGGGTGCTCAAGAAAAACCTGAAATAAGTTAATCGGGGAAGGACAAACAGTGTATGTTCTCATTCATTTGGGGAATATGAATAATAGTGAAAGGGAACAGAAGGGAAGGGAGAAGAAATGTGTGGAAAATATCAGGAAGGGAGACAGAACATAAAGACTTCTAACTCTGGGAAACGAACTAGGGGTGGTGGAAGGGGAGGAGGGCGGGGGGTGGGGGTGAATGGGTGACGGGCACTGAGGGGGACACTTGACGGGATGAGCACTGGGTGTTATTCTGTATGTTGGTAAATTGAACACCAATAAAAAATCAATTTATTAAAAAAAAAAAGAAAGAAAAACCTGAAATATTTATGAAGTGCTTTAAGTTTCAGGGGAAGTAATATTCCAGCCCAGGAACCCGAAGTGCACCCCAGCTTACCCAGGCCTCCGAGGGGCTCGCGTCGCCCCGACCTGCCCCGGTGCGGGGTCGGGGCGCATCACCCGTGCGCTTGGCCCCTTGCTTCAGGCCTTTGCGCTCCGAGGGTGCAGCGCTGCGGTGTTAGCGGGCCACGCGGGGCGGGGGTGGGGGGCGAGGAGAGCAGGTGGGGAGGCGGGAGGGGGAGGGGGCGAGGAAGAACTGACGCCGCCTGGGGCGCCCAAGCTGTCGAGCGGCGGGTCGGCGCCCCTGCCGCCCCCACCCCCACCCCCACCCCCACCCCCAGGGTGAACCTGAGACGCGCGGCCCGGGGCTGCAGGAGCCGCGCCGGGGGCTGCTGGGGCCGGGCCTGCTCGGGGCCAGGGACGGCGGGGCGCGGAGCCGTTCACCTGGCGCCCTTGGCCGCCGCTGAGGTCACTGATGAATTATTGAGCGACCCTGGGTGCAGGGCTCCGCGGAGACGGCCGGCGCGACCGGGGCAGGGCGGGGCGGGCCACCCGATGCCCGCGCCCAGGCCGAGCAGGACGCGCCACGCGCACGCGGCGGCCGCGCCCCCCCCACCCCCTGCCCCCTCCCACAGCCCACCGTCACCTCTGACTGTTTAAGGAGGTGACACAGAGTAACAGGCTTCACGGGGCCCGCAGTGCCCATCTGGACAGCGTTTATGTCACGATACACACTCATGTACTGTAATGATAGGAACACCCCAAGAATGAAACGTTACTAGTTTACACTGGTTAAAAGGGAACGGACAACCCCAAAACCAAACAAAACCAAACAAAGAAATCTCTGTTGGGATCCGTTAGAGACGCCCGACGGTAGCCAAACAGGCGCCCCAGCATGCTGCAGTTCATCGCCCGAACTTCCTAAGGCCCCAGCTCTTCGTGGGAAGGAAAGTGCCTTTTCACAGCCTGCAGTGCTCCAAGAAAGAGCTTTCGCATGTGTGCAGGTCCACGGAGAAAGGGGATGCAAAGTCTAGGCACCAAGGTTGCTCAGACAGAAGTGGAGTCTTAAGAGTCCTCCTTCAAACTGTTCCGAAGCAGATCTGGTTTGCTGAAAAACAATCTGGACGGTGACCTTAGTCCCAGAGGGCCCAGGGAAAAAAAAAAAAAAAAACACTTAAGTGTTAATAAGGAAGAAAACCATCAAGAACTAGAACAATGCAGACTTAAATATTTTTTTTTCTACTCTACTTTGAAGCTGAATCACAGCTCTTTCATAGCTGGCAAAGATATGCAGTTGATCTGTGGGTACAAACCTTCTCTCTCAATCCCCCCCTCCCACCCCTGATCCAGCAGCTTAATGTTGGAGCACAGATATCGCTGGTTCGATTTCCTTGAAGCAGAATTAACATGTCCTCATGTGTGGCCATGCCACGTTTTAACGATGAGGTATAATTTGATACTGACAATTCCTGTTCCCTCTTGGGCTACGGGCTTGGTCAGTCGTGTGGGTAGAAAACAATTCAACTTTCAGATAAAATCACACATACAAAAATTATTGCACTTAAAAACAACAAGAACAGCAACAACAAAAACTCAGCCCAACCGGCCAAGGGCCAAGGAAACTCTTCGAAGTGTTGTGCTTCCTGCCCTTCGCAGGGCGTCGGGACTGTTTCTGGTGTTCAGTTGAATTTGGTCCGCTATGTCCAGAAGTGAAGGAGTCCAAAAGACACTGTAGGCTCTTTAAGGCTAAGTCTTCCCGGTGCTTCTATGAGATAGATTATCTCCTTGGCCACATACTACAAAGCAGGGGCTCTTCTTAGCAAAATGGCTAGCAGGGCCCCTAAAAATGTCTGGAAGCAAGGGAGGATGGGTGCACACCATATCCTGTCCTGTGGATGAGAGAGAGAGAGAGAGAGTAAGCAGCCTGGGAGGGGCAAGCCACACACTGACAGCTCTGTGGCTGGAAGTAGAGAAACTTCCTCCTGATTCCACTACTTGCTCTCTTTACACTCAACACCACAGCCCATGTGGACCTAGGTTGTCTATGCATCTTTCTCTGTAAGTCCCTTTTGTGGATCTAAATATCTTCCCCTTTTCAGTGAATTTGTCCCTCAGCCTTTACCCTTCCTGCCTCCTTGAGCTTTCTGTCTGTTGATAGCTGTAAAGGAATACTAATCCTATCTGCTACCCCTGGTCTATATGCTATTTATCCTTCCATATTAATCCCAGAACACACCCCTGTCCTCTCCCAACCCAGGGAGTGGCCGCCCCCACCTCAGTGTACCCAGATGCATTTCACACTCTGTTTACTGACTTGAACTGGCATATTGTGACTTCAACTAAGATTATTATGCCTCCAAAATCTGATCTAGTCAAAGCCGAGCACAAAGCATTGAACATGTTACTAATGTTTTCAGGAAGCTCTCAAGTAAATGTTCACATACTGGATGGAATCAAGGCATTCTTCGACTCCACTATCCTGGGACTAATGTTAATATTGTTTTCTGCCTTTGGGAGACAGCTCATGTCCATCTCATGTCTCCTTGTGACCCCTTGTATGATCCTTGTAATCAATAAAATATTTGCACAAAATATCTGGATAAATAGAGTTGAAGAGCAGTATCCTGATATCTCAGGCACAGATCCAATATCGGAACAGTTTAAGGTTCCAAGTAGAGGGAAGGAAGTTCAAATCATAATGAGTTGCTGAAGCTCCTGTGTGTCATACCACTGACCAAGGCACATGGAAGCTCTAAGATGGGCATGGTATTCATTTCTCCCTATAACCACATCTGTGGGGTCAGAATCAATACAACTGGTGAGTGCTGCCTTTTGTTGTATCCTATCCCTTCCCACTTTGTGTCTCCTCGCATGGTTCGCAGACAGAGCACCCAAGAAGCTTACTTACTGCTCTGGATTCGGGACTAGGACTTGCTAACATTCTCATAGATGACATCACTGATGCAGAACTGCTGCTTCTTCTTCATCCACATCAGTTGCACACACTGATGGATAAAAATGTACTGCTCCTAGAGCAAAAGACAAAAGCAGGTTTCAGAGCAAGATATTTTTGTGCAAGACACATGCAAAAATATAATATTTTCACTCTGTGGCAGGATTAGATATGATCTAATGTCAAATGAGACAATTTTCATTATTTATGAGATAATTTTATAACTAGAAAATCCAAGAGAACTGTGAAAATATTTTGATTAATAATAGAGCTTAGGTAATCACAACTTAATGTGTAAGGCAATGAATAGCCAATCAATAAATCATGGGCCTATTTTGAAAAAAAAAAGTAGCATATCATCTCTTAAATACCCAAATAAATTCCAGAAAGTTTAATAAATTAAGCCATAAAAATATAGGGGGGAAATACAGGATAGTTTTTTTGGATTAGTTTTAAGAAGGAGTTTCTAAACTTCAAAGCAATGCAATAAATTACAAATAAAAATTTCAAACTACTATATATAAAATAAAATGAATAAAATAAAGGGCATTTAAGACCCACTTATTTAGCATCATGATTAGGCTTGATTAGCAAGTCGGCAGCATGAGTGAAAAAAATATCTACATTAAAGCCCTTCGTTGGAATGCTTTCCATTTTCCACAGAACAGAAACTATAATAACTTGTTATACAAATAGTCACAAATCTAGTCCTCGAGCTTTTTACCAAACACATGAGTATTGTCTAAAACATGTCTTCTCTGCAGCACATCTTCCTGCCACCGCTGTGCGTGGCTGAGTTCACAGATCTGTTGTAACCTGTGGCTTCCCTGTCTCTTCTCTGGCTCTCGCCTCCTGCTAAGCTTTGCTTCCTGGAGGTAATGAAAACCTTCTGCCACCACTTTAGCTGCTGCTGCTGCTGGAACCTCCATAGCCACCTTGGTTTCGTGGTTTGGCAAAGCATTGGCCTCTACGGTGGTGGAGGGCTCTCAGGGCTTCTGCCTCCAAAATCTCCTCCCTTCAGAATCTGAAGGTCCAAAATTTGAAGACTGATTGTTGTGGTTGCCAAAATTATCATAGCTTCTGCCTCCTCCAAAATTGCTTCCATCGTTATCAAATCCATCAAAGCCATCCTCACTGCTACCATGGCCACCACCACCTCGACTGCCACCATGGCCACCTCACTAGTTTACTCATGACCAAAGTTGTCGTTCCCATCAAAACCACTTCCATGACCATCACCAAAGTTTCCAGAACCACTTTGACCTCTTCGGCTGGATGAAGCACCAGCCATCTCTTGCTTACATAGGGCTTTCCTTACTTCACAGTTGTGGCCATTCACAGTATGGGATTTTTGAATGACAGTCTGGTCCACAGAGTCATGGTCATCAAACGTCACAAAAGCAAAGCCTCTCTTTTTGCCATTGCTTCAGTCAGTCATGATTTCAATCGCTTCAATTTCCCCATGCTGCTCAAAATAATCCCTTAGATGATGTTCTTCAGGGGTTCTTCAATGCTACCAACAAGAATCTTTTTCACAATTAAGTGGGCACCAAGTTTTTGAGAATCCTCTCTTGGGACAGCCCTCTTTGTTTGCACAATTCTTCCATCCACCTTGTGTGGCCTTGCATTCATGGCTGCCTCCACCTCCAGCACTTGGTGTTCAGATCTCTCATGACCACACAGTCATGAGTCAGAGTGTTACCCTTTGCTCAAAATGGCTCCTCAGTCTCTCATCAGTTGTTTCAAAGCTCAAACCTTCAATGAAGAGCTTCTGCAGCTGTTCTGGCTCTTGGGAGGCTCTGACTTAGATACAATGGCGGTGAGAGGGGAGACTTTAATGATGCTTACTCGGTGGGCAGAAAGGAGTCATCTAATGAATGCATCTCAATATCTTTATTTCTGTTTAAAATTCCTTCAATCAGCAATCACATACTTAAATTGAAAAATAAAATATATAGGCAAATAGACCAAATATTCCTGGAAGACAGGAACTGTATCTTTTATATTCTTTTTAAAAATATATTTAATTTATTTATTCATGAGAGACACATACACACACACACAGAGGCAGAGACACAGGCAGAGTGAGAAGCAGTCTCCCCACAGGGAACCCAAGGCAGGACTTGATCCCGGGACTCCAGGATCACACCCTGAGCCAAAGGCAGAAGCTCAACCACTGAGCCACCCAGGCACCCCTGTCTTTTTTTATTCTTCATGCCTAGCACTCAGTTTGTGCTTATTGTAATGTTTTCTGAAGTAAACTGAGGAAATATTAAAACATACCCAAAAAGTGGTGACATAATAAAACATGTAAGTTGACACAACTGTTTTTCATCCATGACATGGGCAAAGCTAAAGGAAAAAGGTAACACTCAATGATGCCTTGAGTTTGTTGAAGCTGTCATTTCTCTGTTGGTGGTGGAGGTATTATTACTAAAGTGTTAGCTGAGGACACAAATAATAAATGAGTGGAAAAGGATCCAACTAATTGTTCTATGAAAAGGAGCATGGTGACACCTGGGTGGCTCAGTGATTGAGCGTCTGCCTTTGGCTCAGAGCATGATCTCCGGGTCCTGGGATCGAGTCCTATATCGGGCTCCCTGCATGGAGCCTGCTTCTCCCTCTGCCTGTGTCTCTGTCTCTCTCTGTGTGTCTCTCATGAATGAATGAATAAATAAAATTTTTAAAAAAAAGAAAAGAAAAGGAGGATGGTTTAAATAAGACACAACAGATCTATACTGAAATATTTTTCAGTCTTTAGAATGAGATTTACAGAGTTTTGGACGACTTGGGATGATATGTATAGCAAAATGTTAAGTGGAAAACGACACTGTAAAATTAGTATATGCATATATAGCATATAAGCATAATCATATAAAAGTTATACTTGAACACAGATGGAGATGAAATACCTCAAAATATTGAGAGTAGCTGTCCTGGTGCCATGAAATCCAAGTAACCTCACGATCTTTTACCTTTCTTCTTTATTCCTTAGAGCTTCTCTATAAGTAATACCATTAGAAATAACCTTGACATAAAAACCAGTCATGGAGGGACGCCTGGGTGGCTCACTGGTTGAGCATTTGCCTTTGGCTCAGGGCAGGATCCTGGGGTCCTGGGATCACGTCCCACATCGGGATCCCTGCATGGAGCCTGCATCTACCTCTGCATGTCTCTGACTCTCCCTGTGTGTCTCTCATGAATAAATAAATGAACCTCTAAAAAAAAAAAAAAAAAAAAGCCAGTCATGCTATTCACAGGATTTAAGGGGTCTTTTGTATGACAACTTTATAAAGGTTAGGTTAATACTTCAAACCTCACTGGGTTGATAATCAGCCTAATCTGTATTTTCAACAAGCTTTGGAGAAAATTCATTCCCTTATTTCGTGATAATATCACATTCATAACTGCCTACCTCTTCTCGTCACACATCACTCCACTGTTTCTGGTGTTGTGTCAAGCACTGAGCACGGTTTGGGCCAGAGAGGACCTGGTTTTTCAACCCATAACTACTCAGTGGCCAAACTTCGTGTCAAAAAGGGAAAAAAAGTAGCTGGACCACAGGCAAGGTAAATAAAAGACTATTTACAGACATATCCCTGAGAGACCCCGAGAGGTCTAAGCTGCTGAGCAGGATGATGGCTGCTCAAAGCAAAAAGGCTTTCCGGGGAAAGCCTATTAGAGGAAATCAAATAAAACATTTGATAAAAATAGAAGAGAGCCCAAGAGAGGTGAATGCCACCCATATAGAGCACTTGACAGTTTCAAAGTACTTGTCTAGATTATATCATTCACATCATGTAAACTCTACAACAATTCATGAATGCATCATTCATGGTTTACAGATGAGGACGGGGGGCTAGGAGAGGTGAAGGAAGCTGTACAGAGGCCGCAAGTGACCCAGGCCCACTCACGGAGTCTGGCCTGCCAACCCCTACTCTCTCACTACCCGTTGCTGTTCTTACGGAGAGGCTCAGACCGTGTGCCCAGGCAGCTGAGAAAAGGGAAGAGGGCATGTTGAAACACAGTCCATGCAGCCTGTTGCCGGGACCTGAAACGTGCATCTCAGGACAGGCTGTTTTAATCAGTTAGCTCTGCTATTTCTAGAGTGGGGCAAGGTGGTGGAGTCGAGATGATGGGCAGTCTAGAGGAGGTAGGAAAATTAGAAACCCATCATGGGAGGGAACCTGGTATACAACACACAAGTGGTTTATATAGAGAATCGGAAATCAGCTGGAGAATCACTCTGGCCTCTTGAAAATCACTAGTGTTAAAGGGGTCACTGTGGGATGATAAAGTCGAAGAAAATTTGTTTGCTCTGCTCCTTCCTTATTAGCATCAGTAAAGTAGAAGGCAGCAGGACTGTGATATGAATGGGATCAAGGAGGATGTTAGGAAAATCCTAATATTCAAAATACAGGTTGAACCATGAATTGCATAAGAACCAGGAAGAACAAAGGTAAATGGAAAAATGTTCCAGACATAACAAAACAGACATAAATAAATAACTCGAAATAGAGAGCATTCACTGAAGAATCCTGAGGGAACTCGAGAGTGAAGCCGGAACAGTTGGAAAAAAATCAGTAACCTTTGGTGACCTCTCCTCTTTTGCTCACTTTGAGTTTTCCCACAAGAGTTCAGGGAAGGGATATTGTACTTTAAAAAGATTGTTTCCCTGGAGATGTCAACCTAAAAATGCTACTATAAACAAAAAAAGCCAAACAAACCAAAATGTGGAGCCAGAAAGTCAGGGAGAACACAGGACACTTCCTCAGCTCTGCAGAGAGGCACATGGTGGCTGCTCTGGTTTGGTGCGATTACCACGCTCCAGGAAAGATAATGGTGTTGAGAATTGGATGGAGGGTCTGCCGTGTGAAGGTAGTTTTTAAAAAGTCATTAGGATTTTGTAATTGGGAAAGCCAAAGGCAAACAGGCTATAATCAAAGTCTATAAAGTTATAAGAGGCATAAATTAAGTCAATGAGGCAGACCATTCATCAGATCCAAAATACTTAAAATAAGGAGTGGCCCTTTGAAGGTTGGGGATTAGTATACATAATGGGGAGCTTTAACCACACGTTAGCATGTACATTTATGGAAGTGAAAACCAAAAATATGAACCAATTCATAAAGCAGTGTTTAATCACTAGGTAGTGCGTTTCTCCGGGGAATCAGGATGTTTTAAACTCACGATAACGAGGTCATGTTCGTGTCCCCATCACGGTAAATTAGAAGGTAGCAGGGCTGGGATGTGAGTAGGGTCAAGGAAGTGAGCGAACACACACATCATCAATGAGACAGGTGCATGTGAATGGGTCACTCTTTCCAAAGTGGTATGATCTTGCTATATAGCAAGATCTATCTATCTATTAATCATCTATTATCTATCATCTATCCAGCTATCTATGTATCTATCTATCATCTATCATCATCATCTATCTATCATCATGTATCTATTATCTATCATCTATCAATCATCATCTACCTATCTATCTACCATCATCTATCATCTATCTATCATCAATCATCTATTATCTATAGTGTGGAGCATAGGTCAGATGGGAGTGGGGAAGCAGGAGAGAAAAATAAAAAATGGGAGAGGAGAAACCAGTGGGGCAAACCCATAGCAGCCATGACTGCAGGCTTTTTGAGTTACACTGACATCTAGTGGTGCTCAGTAGGAAAAGCATGGGGAAAACTAAGGTCGCGTTTAATGTCTTGGAAACTGAGTCAGAGGTCAAGCCAGGTTGTTTTCCTCTCTACAAGTGTTCCTCCCACACACACTCCTGGAGCCAAAAGGATTATTGTATGCTCAAAGCTGAGAAGTCGCAAGGACGGCTTGGTGACTAGGATGATGAACTAGCTATTGTGCGTAGATTTGGGGGCACGCAGGTGCACACCTGGGGCTGCTGGGTGGCGGTGTGATGCTGTGTGCACAGCAGCCCCGGGCTAGCACTGAAGCCAGAGTGCATTCTGAGGCTTCCAGGGAGGAGAGGGCTTGGACAAAGAGGAGGAGGAGGGAGCACATCACAGTACTGGATGTTTCTGGGCATGCTCCCCTGTGGTTACAATGGTAACTCCATTCATTTAGATCAAGGGACTTGGCAGCACTGCTCAGTTGGGAGCTGGAAATCCTTAAAATCATAAGGGGGACAGAAAGCGTAAGTCCAACCCCTGATCATCATCAGAAGTGCATTGGGACAGAGTCACATGGAGGACAAACTAATGCCAAACTTACTGAATCACATCTAGTGTTTCAAATTTAAATTCAATCATGTCCGTTCCACAGTCTCCACTTGGTGGCATTTACCCAGATTGCTGTCGCCTTCACTGAACTCTCAATCCGCTCAAAGAGGTTTTATTCTATTATAGATACATCCACATGCTCTGGATTACCAAAGGGCATATGATGCCAACAACGGTGCAAGCACTATACACTGAGTGGATTTCTAGAGGATAATATCTATTTTGGGGGTACCTTGAAGCAGTTTGAACATGCACACTAAGAAACTGGAAATAGCAGATGCAGGAAAAAATGAGACAATTGTTTTGAAACATGAAATCAAACAATGGGAAGTTTCTCAGTCCGGGGCATTTCTGAAAATGCATATTGATTCCGTTCCTACCTCTGTCTGCACCATAGACATCCGGTACGACCGCATTTCGGACACCAGCCCTAGGATGTCGACAAACTCGTGATCCCGAATGTGCTGCAAGAGCCTGTCCAGGGCAATGAATGTTCCCGTCCGGCCGACTCCAGCACTGCAAAAGAGCATGCAGGCAGCCTATTCCTCAGATAGTGCTTTTCACACAGTTGCAAACAAATTGGCAGCTAAATCCACCCCACCCCCGCCCCCAAACTACAGGTAGCACCACTGAGATTAAAGGAGAAATATTCTTGACAATGCTTTCCTAACTGATTTTGAAGTATGTGATTGTGGTTGGTGTGTCTTTCAATGACATTTCTGACTGGCCTGCTACCTCCAAGACGTGCAGGTCTGCACTGCCTTAGCCACACCCCCTCTGTCTCCTGCAGAATGTAAGGATTCCAGCCTGAGCTTGCTGGAGAGTTGGGAGTTGCTTGTGCTCTCAGAGAGCTGTTACACACACACACACACACACACACACACACACACACACACCAGTTCCAGCCTTCTGTGTAGCCTCAGAGTTAGTTGCACACCCTCTGCTGGAAAGTCTGATTGAGATGCCACACACCAGCGCTTGCTCTGGAGTTATAGCATTTGAATGTGGTCAAGCCTAGGTTGAGTTCACTCCCCTGGACCATCCTTCCAGCACACCTGCCCTTCTAGTGGGTCTCGGGCCTGCTTTGGTCTCCCAGCCAAATTTTAGATAGTTGCCTCCAAATCAAATTTGATATTTGGAGGCAGTCTCTTCATTCCCCATATCCCAGTGCTCAGAGAGTGGAGGGAAGTGGAGGGAATGAATGGCACTGACCATTGCCCACCAGCAACCCCCAGCTCTATATGTTTAAGTCAGCTCTTCTCTTCCAGTCACTCAGAGGCTGCAGTGCCAACTGGTTTCAAACTCTAGATTATGTAAAATGAGAAAAGAGAAAGTCAAAACCAGTGCTTATCCAGAATTTGCTGGAGAGAAACTCAATACTAAAAGCTTTGAGTTCAGAGATTGCTTTTCTACCAGACAACTCTTGCCTCCTAGGACTTGTTGGTCTAAGATAAAACATTCTGTCTCTGGGTGAGCACCTGTGAAGTCCCATCCAGGACTGTGGCTGCTTCTGACTTGGAAAGGAACCAGGAGTTTGACCACCTGGTTGAGCAGCTTTATTTTCTGCTCTTAGAAAGAATCATTTGAGACTAGATGTCATTTGGTCATGCAAAACTTTTAACCTGTGAATGTGTGTAGTGAATGGACCCAAGTATATATCCTCCCTGATCCCAAGCTCGGTAGCTTATCAAGTGTTTTTCTTTCCAGACAGACCCATATTCCTCTCTCTATCTCTGTCTCTGTCTGTCTGTCTCTCTGTCTCTCTGTCTCTCTCATACACACACATTCCCCCAGCCATTCAGTTCACAAACACCAAAGTCAGGATCCAGGATTATAGATTTATTTGCTTAGGTTGACATGGCTGTCAATGCCTCCCCTAACATTGTCACCCCACTCCTGCCTCTGGCACACAATAGGAGCATGTTCATTTCCCCTGCTCTTTGGAGGTTGCATAAAAATTTTGCAACAAAATTATGTCACGATGATGGATTTTGATGAAGTTTTGGTTCACTTGGTAGGAAGGAAAGCTTAAATTCAAATAAATGTTCTCCCGAAGGAATTCACATGATCCTTGTTTTTGATAATGCAATAGATCATACAGGCCCTTTTCATTTTAACCATCTGGAAGTTTAGAGACAATCTCAAAGAGCAATCATACCAAATGTTTATCTTAATGAGCTGAATACTTTTATTTCTCCTTTCCTTCATCTTGTTTTTATGTCTATTTAATATTATTCAGGGTTGTGATTTGCTACTTTTAATCTGACTTTGTATTTGGCCATGTTATAAAGCACTCAGAATCACTGATAGGTTGGGATAATACCACACAGCACCTAAAGGCACGGATTTGAGCCCCAACCCCTCCACTTTCTTATTGCATGAATGTGTGTGGATCCCTTTGCCTCCCTTCTTCTCAGTTGTTTTTGTTTTCTTACCTAAAAACGAGAATAATAACATCTATCTCATAGGCTAATGGAGATAAGAAACACCATAGTATAAGTAAATGACATATCTAGTAAGATATCAGTTAATTGTTAATTTTTAAAAAAATCATAGTTCGTGTTATTGTTAATTCAGTGTGACTGGGAAAAATGGAATGGTGGGCTTTTCCCTTTATACAGCAAAGCCTGTGGTGCCTTAACAGAAAATACGGCTGAAGAGGTTACCTGCAGTGCACGATCATGGGGCCTTTGCTCTTGGTAGCTTGCTGTCGAACCACGTGTACGAACTGCAGGATGCTCTCTGCAGCGTTTGCTGTGGGCACCCCGTGATCAGGCCATGCAGTGTAGTTGAAATGCATCACATCCTGCATCTCATCGGCCTTTAGGAGAAAAAGCCAACACAAGCATTAAAATCTGTCAGGGCATCGGCCCAGAGCAGGCCTCCACGGCTGCTCGCAAGTTAACAGCATAAGAAGTTAAAGCCACGTGCCCCTCCCCGTCTAGGCCCCTTCCCTTTCCAGCTCTGAGGATTGTGTCTGGCACAAAGCAGGCCCTGAAAAAAGTACTAATTGTATAAAACTTCAAAGCATAGTATAAATAGGCTAATCCAGGTCTTTGTAGAGATCAGAGCTCAAGCATCTGGGTGTGCATTCTGACTCTGTCATTTGGCAATTGCATCAGCTTTGGCCCATGGATCCCCTGAAAGGTGCTTTGGTGCCCCATCTGGGTCCCCTTGACCAGGCTGCACCTCTTTTCCAGTTGCTGCTAGACAGCATATGGCTGTGCCCTCCCCTCCACTCTTCTCCACAAAGGGAACTGTCTTGCTGGAGCATGCCCAAAGGGATGTGTTCTCCTGATGAGAGCAGGAATGATGGATACTGGGGTGCAAAATGCCTTCCCCCCTTATGTCAGGGTGGCATCCATATCAGCTTGGCACCATTCACTCCCTTGGCACTCTCTGGGGGACCCAGTCGAGACCAGAATTCTGCTGAAGCCACAGCTGTGTGTGCTCCTTCCCTGCCCTGTCCTGTCCTGCTTCCCTTGTTCCCTTAAAGATTTTACCCAAGATTATGCTTTTAAAACTCACCAGTATGACAATCTCTGTCTTGTGCTCTGACCCAAGACAAAATCCCTGAACACCAGTTTTCTCATGTCTAAAATGAGTCCTTTTGATATTATAAAACAGCCCATCACAAGGGTTGTTGTGAGGATTAGCTGTGCTCATGTCTGTGAAGGATGGGACCTGTTAGATCTGATCATCGCTGCTGCCATAATTACCACCACGCGCTCCCATCCAGCTCTGTGCATTTGTATGGTTGGTTCTGGGAATCCCAGTGGGTTGGTATATTTTGTATCATCTTTTTCATATTATTAACCCATATGTCAAATATATTCTTGTCCCCTCTGGACTGAGTAATTATCATTTGGGATGTGGGCCTTGAGGATTCGCTCTTTCTTTCTTTCCTTTTTTTTTTTTATGATTTATTTATTTGAAGCAGGGAGGAGCAGGGGGAGGGAGGGAGAGTCTCAAGTGGACTCTGTACTGAGCTCAGAGCCTCACACAGGGCTCAATTTCACGGCCCTGTGATCACGGCCTGAGCCCAAACCAAGAGTCAGACGTTTAACTTACTATGCCCCCCAGGCACCCCAAGATTCACCCTCTTTAGTATCTACTAATTTGTAAGCATAAAGATTTGTTCTGTTCTTATTATCAACTGTCATAAATATTCCAAATCCAGGCCTCACAAAGATCTAATTCATCCCTCTTCCCTCAAACTTGCTAAGAACCTAGAATCCACTCGATGAATGGAATACTGTATCATGATTTGGAAGAATTTGGCCTGGTTATGAAATGAAAGTTAGGTTCAGGTATTCAAGAGAATTGAATTCCAAAGAGTCAGCGGTCTTGGGTGAAGTAAAATTTGTATAAATATAGGTAAATGCATAAATAAAGTATATGAATAAATACATAATAAGAGTTCTGTAAACATAAATAAATCTGCACTTCAACTAGACCCACTGTCCTCTAGGCGCTTAAGGCTATACAACCCCAGCCACATGCAGTGCCTCCCTCACTGCCTTCAATGGCTCTTTCTTAGACACATGGAGCATGTTTGCAAAAGTCTGCAAAGATGCTGGCTCCTCTCACTACCCTTTTCAGGAGGCAAGAAAGTAACCCAAGCATGATAAATTGTGCAGAATGACTCCATAACTCAACACCATGAAGATTTAAGCACAAAGATAACTCTGGTTGCCCAGAAAAGCTCACAAAAATATTAACTCTCTTCAAAGGCTGATTACAGGTTTAGTGCAAAGACTTGTTCATTGTGGGCAATATAATTTGTACATATATTTATGTTTATGCGTATATACATAATCAATCTGAAAATGTAGCTGGATAAAATATACAAAGTGGTTCAAAAATAGGAAACACTTAAATTGTCATTATTCTTTCTATAGCTGGAGGACGGAGTTCTTAGTATCAGGGTGGTCCCTGTCAGCCAAATAGCAAGGCACATGTCAATGGGAACAAACAAATTTTTGCTGGCTTGAGTCTCCAGTTCTTACTGAATTCAGACCAAGTATTCAAGCACTGGAAAGTGACAAATTGTGTGTTATGGTCATTTACTTCCTTTCTTGTTAAACAAGAAAACCCTTCTTGTTACATCTGAGCCATTCCAAACTTTCTCTTACCCTGGTTTCCTCACTCATGTACTTTTATCTGGTTGTACTCTGAGAGTTTCCATATATCAATATGGAGGGAGTAAAGAGTGTAAACAAAAATCAAAACAAATAGAAAAATATATCCATTCGCCTCACACAATGTTCTTTGGCAATAGCTTAAAAGAAGCTTCTTGTGGCAGAAGTTTAAAATTTAGATTTTGTGTTTATGACCAAAAGGGGGCACTCTAGGACCAAGTACTTGTAACTACCATCTACACATCTGACCAGAAAAGACCATGGCTCAAAGTTTTATTCTTATGTTTCAAGCCCTTCACATGATTGTTATTGAAAGGTCATCATTTAAGACCAAGGACAAGAAGCATAGTATTGACCATACAATGATCTATGGGACTGTGTCAAGGAAACAGGCCTTATTTTGTGCTCTGTAGTCTCTTTTCTCCTGAATGCAAACCCAGAGAAACATTTGTTCGAACTTTGCCAGAAGTTTTCACCAGTTGAAATAGCCAAGAAAGAAAGCGGGGCCCAAATGGCATTCAGATTGTCAAATATTTTCTCTAAGGAATATCTGTGATGCTTTCCAAGTGCTTTATTGTTTTTGAAATCATTCATTCACTTATGCACTCATTAATTCATTCTGCAAAGATTTTTATAAGTGGCTAAGGGTTGGGATTACAGAGCTTATTAAAACAGGGTACTTGCTTCCCAAACTCACAGCATGCTGGGGGAGGAGGATGTGAAGAGAGACAATTATAACCATCTCTGATGTCCTGTGATAGAATAATCTATGTGAGACTAGACTGAGAGAAAGGAATAAAGCTGTCTTGAGGTTAGGGAAAGTTTAACAAAAGAGGTGATCTTTGAGCTGAAATTCTGAGAGGGAATGTGTTTAGGGAACAGGAGGAGATGGCCATTTCCAAAAAAAAAAAAAAAAGGGAACAGCATGAAGCATGGTCTGCTAGGGGTTTGCCTAAATTCCCCTTGTAGCAAAAGCCATTGTTAACTATAAGTGGTTAAGAAGTGATTTAACTTGCAAATATCAATAAATGACTAGTTAATGATTGCTGATGCTATATGGATATGGGCAATCTTTATTTCCATTGTCCATATTAAGGGTCAGCAAACATTATCCGTAAAGGGCAGGTAGTAAATATTTTAGGTGTTAAGAGTCTTATGGTCTCTGTTCAACTTCTCAAGCCTGATGCAGCACAAAAATACTCATGCACCATATGTAAGCAAATGCATGGCTCTGTATCAAAATGTTATTTGTGGACACTGAAATTTGAATGTCATATAGTTTCCATATTTTGGGTGAAATATTATTTTTCTTTTGATTTTTTCACCCATTTAGAAATATAAAGCCATTCTTGGCTCACAGGCTTTACAAAACAAAGCAATGGTCAATTGCTAGGCAATTGCTAGCCCATACAGCTAGGAAGTGTTGTTTCTTTTTTTTTTTCTTTTTTCTTTTATAAAGATTTTATGTATGTATTTGAGGGAGAATGAGAGAGAGCACAGCAGGAGGAGGGACAGAGTGAGAGGGAGAAGCAGGGTCCCCGCTGAGTAGGAAGCCAGGTGCGGGACTCAATCCCAGGACTCTGGAATCATGACCAGAGCCAAAGGTAGATGCTTATGAGACTGAGCCACTCAGGACCCCAGGAAGTGTTGTTTCTAAGCAGAGAACACTGTAATGAGGACTTTCCTATTCAACATTGCCCTCGACAGAGAGCATGTTCAAGTGACCACTAGTAAACTTGCCCTCTTATTTTTCTGGGGCTATGGTGTGTGAAAGAAGGCAACAGGGTGACTGGTGATGTCAGCACCTAGCCTAGCAGACAAATATTCAGCATAAGCTCAAAGGCTGATCATCAGAGAGGTAGCAGGCCTGGAAAAATTGACTTTTTCTGATACACTAATATTCAGAAATCAATAGTATTTTAAGAGGGATGGAACCATGATATAAAAGGCCTAGAAGAACATTTGAAATAATAATAATAAAACCAGATCTAAAAATAAGGGAAAAAGCCAAACAAAACCAAACCAAAACTACTAAATCTTGTTTAAGTGCTTCAAGTTTAAGTGTGTCTTATGTATCCTAATTATACTTACATGTAATTAGCATAAGTCATGAGAACTTCTCTCCTCAATTGTACCTGATGAGCAATAATTCCCCGTGGCTTCTATCGCCCTGGGCTAACCTGAAATGGAAACTTGAGGACATTTTATTCTTTCCTGGTGCTCTCCAGGCTAATCATCTCATCCACACCATTATGGATGAAATAGGAAATAACTACCTTAAAAGTGGGATTTATCTCTTGAAGAAAGCAGGATTCCAAAGCCTGAGGAGCTCACAGTCTGACCTGATGGTGGGTTGGCTGGTCCCTGACATGTGGGTGTCTCCACAGCACGAGGACAGTATCCGAACTTGTGCTTCATGACTTACATAGTTGATTCTGAAGTGTCTGCAGGCCCAGTCGTCCCGCTCTTCCTCCGAGACCATCTCTACGGTGATGTCTCCGTAAGCTATGGGTTCTTCTGTGAACGGCCAGTAATGGTCACATTTCACCTGAGGTGACAATGGCAAAACCTTTTCAAACAAACAGGCTAAGGAAGAAACAGTCTGTGTTTACTTAGGGGAAACAAAAGTACTTCCCTCTGAAGAACTGTATAGTACTATTGTGAGGATGAAAAATGAAGCAAATGGAAGTTTCTGGTACATAGGAAACACTCAGGCCATGGCTACTGCTGATTTTGCTGCCAGCGGGGACAGCCCCATTAGGCACTTACCCTTCTTTTCTCATTACACTGAGTGAGCATGACAATAATCTGGGACTTCTGTTGTAGGACCATCTTCCAAAAGTCATTTCTGGTTTCAGGCAGTGGCCCCTGCGTAGCAATGTACTCCTGGGGTGAATTGTATCCCTGAAAGATTAAGTGACAAAGTTGTCACCTAAGGAGTCACCGCCAACACCAAATACCATTCCACAGGAATGAGGAAACACTGAAAATTTACCAGAAATAACCCTGGCCAAGGATCACACACCTGGGTAATGTTCTCTTCCTTTTTCATCAAAGAAGTAATCAGAGTAACTGACCCGTGCAGGTCCTTGTGATTGTAAGCACTGTTCTCTGAAGCTGATAAAAATCTTTTTACAAGAACAGTCACTATTTTTAAAGCACAGGGGGCTCAGGTGGAGACCTTTGAGTTGGGTTGCCAAGACTGAAGTTTCAACACAAGAAAAATGATCTTTAGTGTAATTATTTACTTTCACTTTCACCAGATCTTTACAAAGAAATCCGAACATTACTCATCAATAGGCTCTTCCCCCCATTCGTCATTCAGAAGAGGAATAGTGGGAACGGTCCCTGCGAATTGGGTAGCCAGGTGGACAATGGCTCTCTTTAGGGCTGTTTGATGCATCCCTGGAGCCCTAATAATTCTGGCTGAGGTAGAATTTGGATGCCTTGTTTTAAGAAATTTGTTATTGTCTTTTACTTACGGGAATGTAGTTGGCATTGATATAGTCTGTGCCTTCCTCTTCATTCATGGAGACTAATCTCACTCGGCTGAAGTCATCTGTAAAGAACAAGAAGAAAAGAAATATTGAAAACGAGAAGGGAAAGAAGAATTGTCTTGACCTTCTCTATCCAAATAGCAAGTCAGATCAGCCCGTGACAGGGTAGATCAAGTTTACTTTAGCCTGATATTACAGCCACACCTCAATCTTAGTTTCTTGTTTAAATAAATATAAGAACACATCTCAATCACCGTTTCCTCTCCATCAGCTCCCCTATGCTTGTCTCCAAGTTTTGGGGGCATTTTGCAGGAGCAGAATATTCAGAAGAACTAAAATATCTGGTTGGTTGTATGGAAGGCTAGATTTGTAGCCTAAATCCATGATTTCCATGTCACCTAGTACATCCAGAGAACCCACTACTTTTGGGAAATCCAGAGAAGATGGAGTTGCACAGGCTTTGTGTAAACAGACTTCAGATGAGAAAAAGCACATTTTGGAATGTGTACAGATGTGAAGTGTTATAATGATGACACCATGTGATTTTATCAAGAAGGCTGATCAAGGAGAGAGTTCTTCTAGAGCTTTTTCAGCTCCCCTCCTTCCTTTTCCACTTCTCCCAGCACCAGCCCACACCTCCACCCAGTGTGGCAGAGAGGACAGTTAAGTCTATATTGGAATATATTTTAATTCCTGTAAGTGTTTCATATTACTTTTTTCTCAAATGTTGCTTTTATCACAAATGCTAAGCAATAAGAGACTCTGCAGAAGTAAGAAAGAGGAGACATTTTAGTACATTGCCCTCCTTCCCTTGTCAGGGATTTGATTGAAAATAATTTATGAGAGCTTGGGTTATCTTATCCTAATTTGGCTAAGATTTTTGATCTCCGGAGAACCAAATGGTCAGTCTTCCCAGATCATTGGACACAATTCAAAGAAATTCAATATTCCTACATAGGATGGGATCTAGTAACATCAAAGCATGAATGGGATTAATGCAATCACAGAGATGGCCTTGAGGATCCAGACTACAACTGGGCTCAGCCAGAGATTGGTGAAACTGATCAATCTGCAGCAACAGTCTGTCAGCCTTTGAGAGACATGAATAAGATAGGCTCTAGTGACAATCTTACATGGTAGGATGTTTGTGTAACGATTTTTACATCGGTTCAGTGGAAGATCTGCAGCAAAGTGTGGAATGTCCAGTCCAATCAATTTCAACTCCTGTAAATGACAGAGAATAGAGTTGAGATTTCTGCACTCAGTGTGGATTATTGTTCATGGTGGCTCATTGTTCACAATTGGATTATTCCTCACTCCCTGCCTATAATAAAATTAGCACTCCCTCTTCCACGTGATGTTCCAATTGCTCCTCTTTGGGATGGAGAGTACTTCTCTACTCCACTGTTCTCAATTTGCTTTGGCCAATGAACTTGGGTAGAAATCGTTCCTATCAGAAGCTCTAAGTGTGCTTGCTCAGTCTGGTTTCCCTCTTGTACTCCTGCCATCTGCCATGAAAAGAACAGGCTCAGGGAATTTGCTAGTCTCAGAATGAGGAGATGCTTGGAGCAAATCTGACCCTGACCCACTGCCTGAAGCAGACGAGCCCACTGTCCTACAGACACTTGAGGAGGAAAATAAATAAATGTAGCAGGTCACTGAGATTTTGAGATTTACACTGTATGATGCTTATATAGCATTATTGCAGGAATAACTGGCTAATATCATATGTAAATACTCTGAATAGCTTAGTGATCATGTAGAGAAGGAAAGAATTATCTGTATCATTCAAGGTACGGAAAATTTGAAAACAGAGACACATTTCAGATTTTTGGAGGTATATATTAACTGAAATTTATGCAATATGTATAAATATTTCTATTCTGTGGGGAAATGTAGGTATTTCTCCTGCAGGCAATAGGCATTAGTAAAAGTAGTAAAAGAAAGAGTGAAGAATGATTAGTGAATAGTCCCCACGTTACAAGAATTAAGATCTATGGGCACTAAATATCTGAAAATAAATTTAACAGTAAGGATGAATCAGTAGTGGGTAGGCAAAACCCTCCAGTGAAAATAGGAAAGTACAAATATCTGTATATATGTATCAGTACCCCTATAAATCCTATTATCAGGATGTGCACTGGTAGGGCAATTTTTATACAAACAGACAACCCTCACACTTCAAAAAGATTATATTACGGGACAGTGGGGGCTTCTAAGTTTTCATCTCATGTATCTTATAGGAAACAAGCAGTTAGGGTCAGGCCACCTGGGCTTCCCAGGAGGCATTGTTCACGCTGTGGTGCTTGTGAATAGCTCTCTGGAATTGGCCAGTGCACAACCAGCACTGCAGATCTGGTTATGTTCCTGGACAAATGTCAGGGAAATACGAGTAAACAGTGTATATAACCATCTACAAATGGAATTACCTATATAGTATCCACCCCTATGTAATATTAACTGAGGCAGTAGAGAAACTACTTGCTGTAAATCTTGCTGTAAATCATCCATGGGAAGAATACGTCATATCTTGGGGAAGAGTTTGGGAGCGTCTTTGAAAGACTTTTCAAAGGGCTTGGAGACATTGGTGATGTTTTGAGAGACTGAGCTGGCATATCTCTTTCATGGCCTTTCTGTCTGGGTATTTCAGTGTTCTTTGCAAAGCATATGCTTTAAAGAGACTGAGTTCTTGGGTCTTCACTGCTTCCACATAGAAGTTTCTTGCCAGCACAATGCGCCTACTGGTACTGGGATGCAAGGCTGTGGTCAGCATGGATGGACAGGCCAACCTGAATCATTTAGATTTCTCTCCTCCTTTCATCCTGCAATACTTTGGGCTTTTTGAGATCACAAGATCTCAGGCTCTTGGGGCTCAAGTTGATGCCAACTTTAAAGACAAACTATACTGCCTTTAATCCTCAATTCACAAAGTGAGTTGTTCTGCCTCAGGCAAAATCCTTGCTTACTAAATGCCTTTAACCAGAAGCTTGTCACTGTCACTTTATAAGTGGTTCTTCCATTTTAAAAGGTTTTCAAAGACTGACTCTGTTGTTCTTAGAAGTAACAAAATTTATTTTTGGCAAACTTCAACCAAATCAGTGTTATTTTTAGGTTAGTTCTTCCTGGCAGCTATAAACTAATTTTAAATGATGCTCCCATTGCTTAAAATATTTTGGAAGTCTACCTCCTTTAGAGGGTGTCTTTAGAGATAGTTTGTCAAAACATCTGGCTGATTTTGGTGTACCACTCATTAACTGTAGGGTCTTGGAAACGTAGTTCAACTCTTGGTAACATCAGTTTAGTTATCGGTAAGATAAGGCTTTCAATATTTCCATCTCCCAGCCACATATCATGCAATACAACAGAATGATTAAACTTAACAAATATTAATACAGCACTATCGAAAATGACTGTGGAATACTCCTGTTAGGATCCTTTGTTTTGCTTTGCCTGGATGCGATCTCCCTCCTCTGCCATTTGTCCTAACAGACCAACAACTTTCCCTGCAAATCCCCCGCTTTGGGGACAGACTGATGAGCCACAGGAAGAGGCCTCAGATACAAAAGAAAAGTGTGGAAACAGATTGGAATTGAGAGCTGGAGCACATATGGAAGCCGACTAACTGATAGAACTTTAATTGTATGTTGCCTCCCTGCTGTAAATGCCCTTAGTTGATAAGAGAGGTTTAATTGGCTGAACACTGTAAATGTAAATTGCCAAAGCTGAACCTCAGCAGATCAGGAACAGAGGGTATACACAAAATGCCTCACAATCTTTTGTAATTTAGTCTGTCACTAAGTGGAAAATCAAATACTAAGTTTCCAGTTCAGTAGCTCTGCAGTCATTCTCTTTCCGACCATATGGAAACTCCAGAGGCTTAAATCTTCGTAAAGGCAAAGTACGAGGTGATGGCCTGAAACCGACATAAATCATTTTTGCATTTTCCATTGCCAGTTCTGTTTCTGTTAAGATTTATCATTGTGTGTTTTTTTTTCTCTGGGCCATGTAGTTCATCCATAGTGGGTTGAGTCGTGACTCCCCAAAAGATATGTCCACATTCTAAACCCCAGAACCTGTGAACGTGGCCTTATTTAAAAAGCTGCTGCGCAGATATAATTAAGTTATGGATCATCGGATGCGATTATTATGTATTATCTGAGTGGGTCTTGAAACTAGGAACAAATGTCCTTCTAAGAGAGAGGAGAAGGCTGTTTAATGGCAGAGAGATTGGAATCAGGCAGCAGTAAAGCCAAAGAGCGCCTGGAGCCTCCAGAAGCTGGAAGAAGCAAAGAAGGGTTTTTCCCCTAGAGCGTTCAAAGGAAACATGGCCCTGATAACACTTTGGTTTTGGACTTCCAGCCTCTAGAATTACGAGAGGAAAAATTTCTGTTGTTTTAAGTCACCAGGACTGTGGGGATTTGTTATGGCAGCCCTAAGAAGCTAATACAGTCACCAAAGCCCGATGGCAGTCTATGTTGGGTTGGCTGTGTTTGAAGCATGCAACATATGCGCTGTGTTAGTCTGTTCAGGCTGGCATTGCAAAATGCCGTAGACCAGATGCCTTAAACAATGGAAATGTGTCTCTCACAGTTCTGGAGGCTGACTTGTCTAAGATCAAGGGGCTGACGAGGTGGATTTCATTCATTTCATTCTGGGGCTTCTCCTGGCCTGCACGTGACCATCGTCTCGCTGTGTGCTCACATGACCCATTTTTGTCTAACCCTGCTTTCCTTCCCAAGCCTCCATCTCTTTGACATATCAATTTGGAGAGGGCACCTTGGCATATCGATTTGGAGAGGGCACCTTCAGTCCATTAACATGCACAGTAATCTGAGAAGGGCACAAACTGTATTCTCACTCTAGTGTCACTCAAGTGCTAACTCATCTGAGTCAGGGGAGTTCGATTAGTAGACTACAGAACAAATAAGGAGTCATCAGTGGGGTTGACAGCAGTGGTGCCACCTGGGCCAAGTAGAAGGCTCGGTGGAACTGGGCAAGGTCTGGCTAGTTTTCAGGTGAACATAAAAGGAGACAGGATTTAGAACAAGGTATTTAGTGAGGCTTTGTACTCATTTCTGAGGGCTGCCATAACAAAGTACCACAAGCTGCGTGGCTTAGAGCAACAGAAGTTCATTGTCCTATAGTTCTGGAGGCTATATATCTAGAATTGAGGTGTCAGTGGAGACTTCTGACCTCTGTCACTTATAGAGGAATATGAGGGCAACCTTCCTGCCTCTTCCCAGCATCTGATGGTTTGCTGGCAATCTTGGTTATTCCTTTACTTGCAGCTGTTTGACTCTAATCTCTGCCTTCGTCACCACATGGCATTCTCCCTGTTTGTCTCTGTGTCTTCACACAACTGTGTTTCTGCTGCGACCCTAGCCAGACTAAGAGCCCACCACTCCAGTATGACCTCAGCTTAACCAAATATGCAATGACTGAGTTTCCAAATAAGGTTATATTCTGAGGTCCTGAGTGGCGGGAGCTTGAACGTGTCTTTTGGGGGACATGATGCCACCCATGGCAGATACTCTAAAGGAAGAATGGGGTGCAGCAGTCATGGGCATCTGGGGGTGGTGATGGAGGACTGCAGAAGGATACCAACCTCAGGAAAGTCTAGCAGTAGTTAGCAGGGCCCTGGTCACTAGGGTAGGATTTAGGGGCACCATTCTAGCCCCTGGACAGATGGCTAGCACTGGCACTTGGAAACAGAGACCAAACCTAGAAGATGAGGAACAAGAGGAAGGAAAACTCAGGTCTGGGAATCAAGCAAGACTCCTGGAGTCAGAACTGTTGGAGAGGGTCTGAGGTGCCTTATTTCAAAGACTGCAGGTAGGTCTCCAGCGAACTGGACTGGAACAGCTGCAAATGGGAGTTACTATCCGAAATCAAAGCTCATCTCTCATAAACTACACGGCAAGTGATGCAGTTTGCTTTTCCCTTTGCAACCACATTTCTGAACAAAGATTGTTGAGGGCTTTCACTAGCATCCTGAGCAAACAAATATAAAACATAGAAATTAATGGCAGAATGAGCAATATATGGCATGTCTCGTGGGCTCTCAAACTTCGAGCTCTAAAGTCTGGCTCTTCAAAACCTTTCCATATGAGACATACGAAATGAGGAATTGAATCTAATCCCCAAGTCCCAAACCTCCTTAAGAAAAGATGCACATTTTCATCAGGATAATCAATCTTTCCAGCAGATCCAAAATCAAATGCTGGGTGAATAAGGAATGTATTTAGTGAGTGCAAATTAGCAAGTCATATTGCTTCTTGTATGACTTATAGCTGTATTGGTAATAGATGTAAATCCAGACATTAGTTTCAATTTGCATAATGCTTACAAATGATGTAATTTCTCAGGATGAGTAGGATCTTTCAATGTCAGTATCAAAATGAATACAAATATTAAGCATTCATACAAACAGAACGAGTAACTGTTCAGCTACTGAAGTTAGCTAGATCAGCTGATTCAGCCACCTTAATTAATACTCTCTTGGGTTCCTATTAGAGCAGGGGACCTTTTTCTCCCCAGAAGTTTTGATTAATTATCAATTTCAGGAAAACTTGAGGGCTGCCACGTGAAAGATCTGACATGCGTCCTAAAATCAGGTAAGGGTATGAGTCTTTGAAAACAGATGAGGAGCCCTGACATGGAACCACCAAATGGGGGTGGTGGAGGCAGGTTGGGCTGGAGGCTGGCAGTGCCTGAGGGCTGATGGTTGCAAAAGGAAGTGAGTTAGATCACTGGGTCACTGCTTTGGCAAATGTTAGCTCAAAAAATACAGCCTGAGCCTGTGATTTAAGGCAGACTTCTGGAGAATCATTTGAATTTTCTCACTAGAGCAGAGATGCAATATCTCTGGCACCAAATAAATTACATGTATGATCAACAATGTTCTAAGAACAAAGATATATGAAAAAAAAAGCTTTGGAATAAATAATGATACTAAACACTCCTTCAAATTATGGTGTGATGGTTAATTCTATGTGTCAACTTGCTTAGGCTATATAGTGCTTGGTCTTTTTTTTTTTTGGATGTGATTAACATTTAAATTAGTAGGCTTTGAGAAAGCAGATTACTCTCCATAACTATGGGTGGGCCTCATCCATCAGTTGAAGACCCTAAGAGAAAAGATTGAAGTGCCCTGAGGAGGAGGAAATTCTGCTTCCAGACTGCTTTGGATTGAGCAGCAACTTCAATTCTTCCCTCGGTTCACAGCCTGCCCTGCAGATTTCAAACTTGCTAGCTCCCACAACAGTATGAGCCAGTTTCTTAAAATAAGTCTGTCTCTTTCTATATATATTTCTTCTATTATATGATCATATATAGGATATACATAAGAATTATATAAGAATTATAAAGTGTAATTACATAATGTAATGAACTTATGGATGAATTATATTACTATATTATATTGTATTAGTGTTTTTATGTATATATGTATATATTTCCTATTGGTCTGATTCTCTGGAGAATTCTAATACACATGAGTCAGAAAGCATGGATGTACCCTTGTCCCAGATTTAGTCCAGTATCTTTCAATGGAATACTACTGGCCTGGGTCAATTCTTTATTGTGCAGGACTCCCACTCAGCAGAACATTCATCATCCCTGTCCCTTTCTCTATGGAATACCATGAGTAGTTTCTTCCCAAGTCATTGTGAGAACAAAATATGCTCCTCACACCCCCCCAAACTCACCCTAGGGGACTACTTGGTACTGGCCCAGTTGGGAAACATTGATTTAGTTTGGCCCACTCATTTAATGGATCAACGAATTGAGGTGATGAGGAATTATGGCTTTTTTCCAATATTAAGTAATGGCAAAATGGTAGTCAGGACAAAAGGTTTTGGATTCCCACTTTAGTACATTCCCACCTCCTTTATAATTCTTATGGAATAAGCCTGAATGTGTTCATTTATATAATGAATGGATAAAAGCTCTCAGCATATTATAAATTAAACATTTAGGACATAAAATTTATTATTCTACTTTTCACATTTTTGAAGCATCTGAAGCTAGGATCTGATCACTAATTGTTTGGTTCTCCAGTGCCCTTTCTTTTCCTGGGAATAATGCTCTCTTTTGGTTTAGCTAAGTGGTTCTAGTAAGCTTCCTGTTCTGAATAAGAAGGAGAGTCAACAGTTCCCTTTGGAAACTGTGGAAACTATAGGATGTGATACTCAAGGGTTGTGGGTGGCTGTGTTTTCCACTGTGCGAAAAAAGTTGGTTTGCAGAGAAAGAGCCAAGACAGAGAGAGAAGCAGAAGTGAGGGGAAAAAAAAAAAAAAAAAAGAAGGAGTCTGTGCAAGGTGTGGCTTCTGATTCCAGTCATTCCCAAGACTGAGCTGTTCCCTTTACTCCCTCTGGTTTAGCTCTGGTTATATGGCTCCTTTGATTAAATATCTCAGCATCCTTTGAACAAATTCCCTTTCTTTGATCTAAACTAGTTTGAATGGCGTGTCATTCACAACTAAAATCATCTTTTCTTTTTACCAAAAGATGGCTCTTTGAATTTTCTTTATAATGATGCACTTCAGAAGCAGAGTAATAATTACACTGAGGTTTGATGGCATAAACTGAGAGGTACTCCTAATCCTCCCAGGGAGGGCATAGATGCTAGCTGTGTCGCCAAGGTAACATGAATCTTGTAGGAATTAAGAGCTGGAGGCTTCAATGAATTTGAAAGTGTATACCCATCATAATTTTCCTCACCATTATCAGAATTATCCAGACATTTATTTTTTTCCCTGAGTTTTGGCATATGTGTTCTTATAGAAAGACTCCTTTTTTTTTCCTGAAATGCCATACTTGCCATAGATCTCTAGTTCATACCAAAGTTGAGCTATAGCATTTGGTGTAGCATCTACAACTTCTTGCACACTTGTGTGCAATGGATAACTGAGCCAGGCTCTCTGTTGAATTTCTGATGGCATGGATGGTAGTTAGGGGGTTTTGTATTTGGTTATGTGTAAAGCTCTTCTCATCCTTAAATTCCCTCTTAGTACATACACACCAGGACTTCCGCTGCTTCTTGCAGACCTAAGATATGAGGGGCTATCAGCTGATGAGGGGAAAGAAGAAATGAATATGTATAATGAGGGGAAAGCAGCTACATTCAACAACCTGGCATTTCACACAAAACACTTTTAAGAAAACATTTCCAAATTTATCACCTTATCTTTTTCTTTTCCCTGGTTTCCTTAAATCACAGACCACCTGAGCCTTGCTGTAGGACCCTGAAGGATGAGGCCACCCAGACTGTCCTGAGCTGTGAAATATATGGGAAGAACACCTGAGGACCAGTTATAGTCCTCACACTGCTGAGATCCAAGGCTGACTCATTTCTACCTACTCTGAAACGTGGTCTTGGACTCAAAGAATACACGTGCTTCAGAGAAAGGGGGTGTTGCCATTTTTTTCCTTCTTGCACATTAATCATGTGTAAGTCTCTTCCCAGTTTCCCCAAGAAAAGTAAAGGAGACCTCACAAAGAAATATGAAGCAGAACACCAGGAGTCCGACTGCTATAAAAGGATCCCCACCCCCTTCCCAGCCTGCCCAGGCTCTTCTGTGCCCAGAAGACAAAGGGAGCCCATTTCAACCACCACCTACCCTTACTGTGGCCTAAGTGACATATAAGAGACACACTAAAAATTCCCTGAAAATGAAATTCTCTTTCACACCTAAATCCCTGCCTTGCTTTCCTCTGCACACTCAATTGCACTGATGTTCAGTGATGGTTTCTCCTATAACTGTGTTTGTTCACCCTGCTACCCACATCTGTTCTCCTTTCCTCCCACGGTGTCACCCTAGCCCTGACCTGCAAAGGGTTGATGTCCTCAGTCAGAACCAGCAGGTGAGACACCCCTAGTGCAATTACCATCATGAACCAGATGACAAGTACAGCCCAGTGAACAGAGAAATGACACCAGTGCCCATCTGCCAAGTCCCATGCCTCATCTACCATAGAAAGTAGGAAATACTTGGTCCACTCACCTCAAATTGAAGAGAAAATTTATAGTCAGAGTCTTTGGCCATGTCCTTGATGTAGGCATCAAAGTCATCCAGTTGAACTGGGCTTTATCAAACACACAAAAAATGTATGTTTTAAAAATCTGGCTGACAGATATTTTGACTGTTTCATGCCACACTTTTTGAACATGAACAATTTTCTTGGAGAAAAAAGAAACTTTACTTCTCCAAGGTTAAGCACTCATCTTGCTTTGGTGTGTTAAAGTCACCAGTCCCTAAGATGTTGGGATTAAAGAGAGAGCCTTATATATTACACTTCCTCGACATGGGAGAGATCTCTAGATTTTCAATCAGCTCTTATGCTAGCTAGCAATAACATATTACATATATACATGTATGCATATTGTCTCTAGAAAACTGATTTATGGGATAGAACAAAGGATTGGCATCTGAAGAACTGTTTGAGACATGGTTTTACTTTACTTACTCTATGATCGTGGAAAACTTACCTAACTCTTGTGAGATTCAACATTCACATCCATAAAATACTGTGGTCATACTTACCTTACAAGGTTGACACACAGTATGTTAAAGAACCTTTTAAGTTTATTATTTTTTAAAAGATTTTATTTATTTATCCACAAGAGACACACACAGAGAGAAAGAGGTGTAGAGACACAGGCAGAGGGAGAAGCAGGCTCCATGCAGGGAGCCCAACGTGGGACTTGATCCCAGGTCTCCAGGATCACACCCTGGGCTGAAGGAAGCACTAAACCGCTGAGCCACCCGGGCTGCCCAAGAATCTTATAAGTTTAAACCGTTTTTGCAACTATAGGGCACTGTATTGCTAGCTACACTGTCTCTTCAGAGCAGAGGCAGAGTCAGTGTGATGAAGCACATATCTAGAGAGCTCCTAGGGCCTCCCTCTTAGAGAGCCATGTTTAGAGGCTTGTGTATCTATAAAAGTATCAAAATGGTTCAAAGGTACAATCAGGTAACACATCTGAGCTTATGTTTCTGTATCTATAGCCAAAGTTCTTATCTCTTCCCTCCTTTTTGTGAATAAGAAGTATATTTTATTTCCTATTGTTTTCTGTAGCTGCCTATCCTTCCCAGAGTCTCCTATGCCAGCGTGTTCCCTCAGCTTCTGCAGGATGCTGTACCCTGTCATCTAATTCAAGCCCTTCCACCTTGGCAGGATCCACACAGCTGGCCTTTTCCCTAGTCTTGTTGCAAATTACTCAGTTTATATCCTCTCCCTGTGATCTTATGTCCTATTAGCAAATACATAGTACTTAATAGTCATTGTTTAAAGTTGTTCATTAGCCAATCTCACTGATTATGGTAAGATTTTGGGACATTTTAAAGGGTATTACACCTCCCAGAGTTATAATTAAACTCTAATGATTTTACTTAATAGCATTAATGTCTTGTGTCAACACACCACAGTGCATACATATTTGCATATGTTGTATTGCACGGTTGCTCCCCGAGGTAGACATGGGCAACATTAGCTCCAGGCTTCAGGTGAGACAGCCAAAGCTAAGACAGTCAAATGAATAGTCCGAGATCATGTGGCGACTCAGCAGTAGAACGCTGACTAGCACCCAGGGAGAATGACTTCTGGTTAAAAGCTGTTCCCCCGGGATCCCTGGGTGGCACAGCGGTTTGGCGCCTGCCCTTTGGCCCAGGGCGCGATCCTGGTGACCCGGGATCGAATCCCACCTCAGGCTCCCGGTGCATGGAGCCTGCTTCTCCCTCTGCCTGTGTCTCTGCCTCTCTCTCTCTCTCTGTCTCTCATGAATAAATAAATAAAATCTTAAAAAAAAAAGCTGTTCCCCCTTCAAACTTGCTATCCTTCTAAAAGAAAGGCTAAACATGGGGGCTCCTATCCTAGAATGAACCCCCCATGAGACCTGCACCTGCACTCTCTGGCTGTTGTCTTTGAGCAGCACATTGATTTAATGATCCCAATTTTCATCCTGTTATCAGGAGAACAGAAGCTCGAATAGGAAGGTAGGCTGAGAAAATATTTGTGTGTAGAAAAAGCAAAAGGTAAAGGGAGACAGAGGAAGGGCCAGGAAACAGAAGACTGAACATCAGGGAGAGGAGGGGGATGGTGAGGAGGAGCAAAAGCAAACTGGGAGGGAACAGAGGTCAAGAGGACCAAGGTTTGGGTGGAAGAGGGAGAAGAGAAGGTGGAGCAAAAGAGGGGTGAAAAGAGGATGGGTACAGATAGGAAAGAGGAGCCATGGAGATATGGTGCAGGGGGTGGGGGGCAGGAGGGTGGCTTCGGGAAGGAAAGAGAAAGGGTAAAGAGAAAGAAGCAAATGGAAATGTGTAGGGGGGAGCCCCTCAAGAACTGGCTCTTAGAGAAGGAGGGAGGATCAGAAAGAAGATGAGAAGAAGGAAGGAGGAAGCTGGTTTGACGTGACGTGACATGACACTGTGGCTTGGGCACAGGCTCTCCCATTCCTATGCTCTACCCAGACGTCTGTCCATGTCCTGCTTCTCCTGCTCCTTCTCCTCTCTGCCAGGCCTGGAGAGGAGGAAGTCCAAGAGAAGTCTCCCCTCTTGAGCTACAGAGCTGGTTGTCTACGTGCTCCAGTCTATGCCTCTCTGCCTCACCCAACAATGCAACCACGATTTGGGGGCCACAAAATCTTTCTGTTGCTGTCAGATCATTCTTCCCGGGTGACAGGACCTCTCTTCCGGTTTGTTGCCTTTATCTCTCCCCCGTCAGATGATGCATGTCAATGTAACACAGACTGATTTGAAATAGATTTAGGAAAAAAAAAATTGCTATCTGTATGTGCCGAAAAAAATATCTGTATGCCCATCAAGGCTAAATAGAAATATTCTGGGGACTCCTGGGTGGCTCAAGGGTTGAGCGTCTGCCTTTGGCTCAGGGCGTGATCCCAGTCTGGGGATCGGGTCCTGCATTGGGCTCCTCGTGGGGAGCCTGCTTCCCCCTCTGCCTGTGTCTCTGCCTCTGTCTCTGTGTCTCTGATAAATAAATAAATAACAAATCTTACAAAAAAAAAGAGAAATATTCTGCATCAACATTTTTTGGGCATTAGGCCCTCCATTAGCACGAATGCCACAGATTTGGCTGGAACTCTTATTCGCCTCCTATTAATTCACCAACATTTTATCCTTGGCAAGTATCAAGGATGAACTCTATGTATGGAAATGCTCTACTCTTTATATGCCTGGAGGTGACAGTCTAATTAGGCTTTTGAAATCAACTGATGGGTAATTTTCGCCCATCAGAATCTTAATTCTTATGACTTCGCAGTTCGGTAGATAAGCGAAACTATAGGCTAGCTACAGTAATTATTCTTTTCTATTTATTATAGAGATTTCCTGAGACAGCATTTCTCAAAGTACTTATTATAATATCAAATAGAGTAAAAGTCTTTCCCTGCACCAAGCACAGCATTTCAAAGTATAAAATGGCAAAGGTTTTTGTACAACTTTGATGTAGCTATTAGATATTTTTGTAGATTTAGAACGACAGACCTCTTTCTACAAGACTTTTTGTAATTCCTAACAATGCCTTCTTTCTCAGTTTTCATATGATGGCAATTTTCCTTACTCCTGACTCGTTCTCTGTGATACACTTTCTGAGTGGTCACTGCCGTCCATATGTGTATACATGCCAACACATAATAGTCTAGCTATTGTAATATACATTTGCTTCTTTTTAAAAAAAGTTTTATTTATTTAAGTAATCTTTACACCCAAAATGGGACTTGAACTCATGACCCTGACATCAAGAGTCGCATGCTCCTTTGACAGAGCCAGCCAGGCACCCCTACATTTGCCTCTTTTTTAAGCATCCCTTCTATTTGAGGACAGGCATTTTATTTTTAAAAAATTTTTTAAAGATTTTATTTATTTATTCATGAGAGACACAGAAGATAGGCATTTTAATTTGCAAAGTTAAGATCTTATGAAGAACTTAAAATCAAATATTTAAAAAAGAAATAATAAAAACTTGCTGTGTTATATACTTCAAAGTTTCTAAGATTAATCTTAAATTTTTCACCACAAAATGAAACAATAATTAATGTGACATGATCGGGGTGTTGGCTAAATGCTATGGTGGGAATCATACTGTATTACATCAGTGTATCAAATCAACACATTGCACACTTTAGATTTAAACAATGTAGTATGTCAGTTATATCTCAATAATAAAAAAAAACTTACTTAGTCAGTTTCCTCTTCTTTAAACCATTTTTACTCCTGAGAATTAAAAAAAAAAAAAAAAGAAAGGTTTATCTGGGCAAAAGAATTGATTGACATCATGACTAAACTTGGAGAACTTCAAATCATTACATCAGGTACCTCAATTTTATTTAATTTTCATTAAACATATCTCCGATGTGTTTACTTTTCCTTAAATGAGAAGATAATGATTTCAGATTCACTTTTTAAAAACTCCATTAGATTACAGGAACATACTTACACTTTATGTCTCAGATTTGCCAAATGCTGAATTCTAGAAATATAATCTCTTACAACTAGTGGTTAGATTGCTGAAGTGTTTTATAAATATCTAGAAGCATCTATTGCCTGAAAACTCTAGGATCTAAATGCAAGAAGGAAAGAATTGGGGAATAAAAGAGAGAACTAATGTCTGGGAGGGTGGACATGTTGGTTGTCAAAGACTAAAAGAACCTTTTGGCCTTTTTTCCTAGGAATTTAAGTTTGTCCTATGAGCGTTGGCATGTATCATTTTTCCTTTTTTTTTTTTTTTTACAGATCTATTTATTTATTTTGAGAGAGAGCGAGTGCACAATTAGGAGGGACAAAGGGAGAAGAAGAGAAAAATCTCAAGCAGACTCTGTGCTGAGCAGAGGCTGATGTGGGGCTCAATCTCACGATCCTGAGATCACCACCTGAGCCAAAACCAAGAGTTGGATGCTTAACTATGCCACCCAGAAGCCCAGGCAGGTATCTTATAGAATTCTACTACGGCATTTTCTTATTCAATTTTGACGTATTTTAAGTTATCTGAAGAACTGTACCTATTACTTATTAGGTCTATATTCATCACTACTCTGTAAGTCAGACACATGTAATGCTAATGTATGCTTCAATTAATTACATTGTTAGGGGATATTTAGGGTAATTGTTTTCAACCAACAAGTAAGGTAACTGACCTAAGTTAGTGAATGAGAATATGGTATCTGCTGAAACACTTCATTACTGTATTTTTAATGTCTTATATAAATGATAAATATTGATATTATTATGTGACAATTATTATTAAGTTTTCCAAGGTCTTTAAATATTGGATGGAAGCACTCAAACTTTCAGAAAATAAACAATCTATAGTAAATAACCAGTGTGATCTGAGTGTGCTCATGTGCCAGAGCATTTATTTATATTGAAAATCGTGGGGGAGCCTGGGTGGCTCTGTCAGTTAATGTGCCCAATTCTTGATTCTTGATTTCAGCTCAGGTCATGATCTGAGTCGTAGGATCAATGCCAGAACTGGGCTTCAAGCTCAGTGCAGTCTGCTTGAGAGTCTCTCTCTCTCTCTGCCCCTTCCTCTGCTCATGCTCACTCTATCTCTCTAAATAAATAAATACAATCTTTTAAAAAATAAAAAAAAACTATGAATGTTCAGGTACCTTCATTTCTAGAAAGGCTTTAGCAGGATGAAGCGCTGCTTCCTCTGTGCTCTCATAACACTTTATTCATGGAGTATTTCTCCCAGTGCCTGTTGGTTGCATATGTGCTCGTGCTAGTCAGTCCTTCACTCCCCACCCCCAACCCAGAGCTGAGTGCAGTTAATAGGACACACAGTAGTGCTCAATAAATGTTTATTTAATCAGGTTGAAACAAAGCATCTTTGCCATGTTGCCCCCAGTTTTAGTTAATGAGGAGTTTGGTACTAGATTCGGAAACTGGAACTGATGGATGGACAGGAAGTAATGAGGGCAGAGAACACAGGGAAATATCCATTCGGGCAAGTGGTGTTTCTGGTTTTCACTTCCTGGTTTTAGGTAGTTTTTATCTCTCCCCACTTCTGAGTGACGACAAAGCATTTAATAGCTCCCATCTTATTTTTTTCTCCCTCATCCTCTGTCATCCATATTTAGGGTTGAGAAGGAATAGACATTCCAGTTTTTACTTTGCCTCACCCTCATCCTCTCAAAACACCACTGTAATGTTGGAAAGAGCTGTATCATCTAGGCATTTAGGAACCTTAAAGAACACCTTTTGAATTTTTACTCAGCTCTTATGGGAGTAAGGTAGTGAACTTTAGAAATGCCACATTCACTTTGTATAGTGGGAGCTAATGACTTCGGTGCTTTATGACAGAGGAATGTTAGCTGAGAGAACTAACAGTTTGGTGAAATCAGGAGGCTGCCAACATGTTTTGTGATTGGGAGTGGGGAAAAAAAAAACCCAAAACAAACCTTTCCTATCCAAATACACTCTAAGGGAAACTGGAAAGAAACAAATATATGTGGGAGAGTGACACTGAATAAATTCAGCACTGAAATATTTAACTGCTACTATTCAACAGCTGTGTAGAAACCTGATTCCTGGAAGACAGGCACTTATTTTTCTTTCAGTCTCATTCATTGATTGAATGAACTTTCCATAGAATGTAAAATTCTACCACATGTTTTGAATGACTTATGGCCATGAGTGTATGTTTAAGTGCATGTCTTTATGATGTGGGTACAGCCTTTATGTTCTGCTTAGATTCTGCAGAATTTCCAAAGGTTCCATAGGGTTCTCATACCCTCAGGGGGTGGGACAAGGACAGGACTGAATTATGAGACTGCACAGCAATGCTGCTGGAGCTTCCCTACATTTTCAATTACTGTGCAAATTCTAGGGCTAAAATCAGGGGGGCAATTCGCTTTTCACTATGTAAGTTAAAGTTTTGCCAGCCATTTTAGCTTCAGCGCATTACAAAAGAGCTAGTATGTATGCATGTTACAGAGAACACTTGAGGTGAGGTTTAGGGTGTCATCTTGTCATCACAAAAGATTTTTTGAATAAATGATAACACATGTCAGACATACAGTTAATGCACATGTATACACAATCTTGCGGATCTTTACATTTTCTCTTTCACTTGTATTAGCTAGGTCAGGTTCAAAATCCTAACGATTTCAAGAAGTTAAGAGGTGTAAGTTCTTTATGGTTATGACATCTTGGAAAGTTGGCCAGACTGGAATTCATTGCAAAGAGGTATATGAAAAGAGGCAATGGCAGAGACATGGGATTTACAATGACTAAAACCAACCAAACAAACTCCCCGAAACACAAACTCCAAACACCTTAAATGTTTCCAATTTCATAAGCACTACTTACGCTTTCATGAGCTAATCAGAAATCGTCCCCAAAGCTTAAAAAGGCGTTTAGAGTTATGTCATTTTCGGAATAAAATATGCAATAACCAGGAGGAAAGATGAGCAGTTTGAACTAAATGTGGCTTCATGCTTAAAAATGACAACTGTTGAGGATTTAGAGCTAGTATATAAATACTTGAAGAGAGCATGAGGTGACTATGGCGTTAATAAAAAGAGAGTAGAAACAATGAATCCAGGTTGTGCTAGTCAGAATGAAATGCTTTTCTCTGAATAGGAAACATGATTTGAGATGACTGTAGCCAGAAATCCTGGCAAAGTACCATCTTGAGACTAAGCCACTTGGGCACTGGTGCTCTGTTTTGGTTTTGCTACCACCTGGGAAGAGATTTGAGCAACACTATGAGAGAGAAAGAGTCTCTTGATTGCCGCACAAACCACTCTTCAAGAGGATTTGACAATTAACAGGAGCATATAGTCCCATGAAGTTGGCAGTTTAGAGAAGAACCAGGCCATGCATGAGGAAAAAGGTAGGACGGGTGGCTCTGATATTTCTAGTGGTTCCTAACAGATTAGGTGATATAGGAAGACAAACACAACTGGAGGAGGATTAAAAATGGCTATCTAGCAAATGAAAGTAGGTGGAAATATGCACAATTTACTAGATGAAGAGAAAAGCAGTGAACAGTAGGGAATCCTGGTGGCTTTGTAAGTACCAGGCTAGCTGATCATATATTTTACTTCTTTTATATCTGACATAGCTCAAGCCGAAGGCTGAAAACAGAGTTTATGTTCAGTCTATTTTCATTGGTTGATAAGCATATGGTTTACTGAAAGTGACAGCCTGACAACTGACAGCTCTATGTTTTGCCTTCTCTTCTTACCTGGAGATAACCATTTATAGTCTCAAGACCATTCTTCTAAAGATGACTGAAGGGTTTTTTTTTTTTTTTTAAAAAAAACAAACAAACAACAACCAACCAACCAACCAACCAACCAAACACACTACTGAAGGTTTTTTTTTTCTCCCTAACTTGGGTCTCATGCTATTTGATCAGTACTATAGCAGACCTTGAAAAGGTTGTTGGAATTTGAAGATGTGTTCATCAGGAGGACCTATTAAGAAAGACATGCAAAAAAGCACAGGCCTGATAGAAGCTTAAAAACAAAACTGTGGGAAAGTCAGAGAATTAAGTAGCAAAATTAATATGATTCCAAATGCATCTTTCTCTTGTTTGAAATCTGTGGTGAGTACTTGAAGGGTATTGGCTACAAGTATTCTGATGATAGGTAGACTACTTCAGAATGATTAGTAGATGTTGAGTAAAAAGTGATGCATATTTTGAAGGTCAAGATGGAATTTATATGCACTACTCACTCCTGAGTACTGTCTGATGTCAAATGCTTTAAATATTGTGTTGACTATGATGAAGCCTTATACCCAAAAATGCTACTAAAACCAACTTCGAATAACAGCAAATGGGTCGTCATCATCCAGGACCCATTCCTGACTTCATTATTTAACACATCCCATATTGCAACAATTTTCCTCTAGTCTCTGTCTCAAAAAAAAAAAAAAAAAGCCCCACAAATTCTGGTATTAACAAACTCTACTGTGAGAAAGTCCTTTTTTTGTAATTTTAAATCCTAACTTGGCCAGATATTTATTCTGTCCTTGGAGGAGCTAAAGAACATTTGATCAACTCTCTTTTGAATAAATAACTACAGATTGCGTCTCATCTTTCACTCTTCCCCCATTCTCCCCACCCATGAGTCGTTTTTCCAGTTCATGAACTATTTTTATTGATTTTTTTCTGAGTCCTTCTAAAGTTGTCCATATATCTGGATCCGTCTGTACATAATTTAGTACCTAAACACTGTGGATAGTCAGGACAATGATTTTTGTTTTTGGTTAGGAAACCACTGTCTTTTTTCCTGCACCTCAGGAAAGGAAATAGTCCTCCTAGATTTGTTAGTCTCAGATTTCAAGATTATTGTTGAACAATTATTATTGTAGATTATTGTAAACAAACTGAAAAGGATACTTTTTGAGATTTGATAATTAAAATGATTTAAAAGTTAAGAAAATAAGAATTTAAAGGAAGCTGCTTTTTGCAGAAGAAAATAGGTTTCAGAGATACCTGGGGTTAGAATTTGGATTTTCTATATAGTAGTATGTTGTTAAGATAGTCTTATTAAACCTCTATTTCTATGTCTCTAAGATGGGGCTGATGATACTTCCTGTAGAGTTGTGGGGACAATTAAGTAAGATAATTATACAAAGAGGCTTGCAAATAGTCAGTTGTTCAATATTCATTGAATTAGCATTACTATGAAAACACTAAGACCCCAAACACAGAGTACAGTATTATGGGCTTCTCTACCTTAATGCATTTCTTCCTTTTTGGAAACATGGAGCTCTCTAACGGATGGAGATGATAAGGAAAATAGGAAGCATCATTTACAAAGATGAGAAGCCAATGCATTGACTGAATGAAGAAACAAATGACTAGTAATAAGTGCAAGAAAAGCTTGCCAAGAACAACCCAAGAAGAAAATTTTAATTGGAAAAACATTATAGTTAGTTAGCATCTTGGTACCATTAACTACTGTAATCCATTTCAATACATGATAAATAATTTTAGATGTTGCCCAAACATATGAAATAATTAAAAAGAATTTTTCCTTTTGGTTTTACTTCTGAAGAGCTAACTTTATAGACTTTGTGTTAGGTAAAGAGTAAAAAAAATCACTTACCAAGGATTAATATAAAATGCCAAAAGATAATCAGTCCAAAGACATGAGGGTAGCAGGGTTAAGAAAGCAAATATACTCCTACGCCTGTGAGCATTAATAGATATAACAGATGTAAAGATGAAAAAGTGGCAAGAGTTAGTAACATAAACTGTGAACAGATATCAGTAAATTACCTACTGGGATCAATTAAAATGACAAGCATCTTAATTACAATTAAATATTATTCCATTCTGTGAAATTGAAACGTGAGGGTTTAAGTGCTATCATATTGCCAACACCAGTTTTCTTCACACGCATCCGTATTGTAATCAGATATATTTCTTTCAACTTATTTTGTGTTAATTAGTCTGCTATTAGGTGATTACATTTTACATTCAGTTAAACGAGGCTCTTAAGTGCCTCATTAGTTATCTCCAGTCTTATTCTTGGATATTATTACCCTTTCCATGCTTAAACTATTTTAAGGAACCATTATAACATCATTTGATCGCTAACAGCAGCTTGTGTGAGGAAATATCAACCAACGGTCAATTTGCGCCTATACGGATTCTGGTAAAGACCTCAAGCTTCTGGGACACATTCTTATAAAATTTCACTCTTAGGTGTGACATTCTATATTATTTTTAGTTTTAATTAATACACCATTGCAGAAAAATAACCCTAAAAACAGAGCTATGGTAAGATGCTCATTTGGTATCATTTGTTCAAGACAAGTAGCTCATGAGACTGCCTGGTCCATAATCTGACTAATACTGAGCTGAGTGGGAACAAACTTATTTTGTTGTTCTTTACTTCTAGTTCAGTCTGTTGATTTAAAAAGCATGGTTTGGGGATCCCTGGGTGGCGCAGCGGTTTGGCGCCTGCCTTTGCCCCAGGGAGCGATCCTGGAGACCCGGGATCGAATCCCACGTCGGGCTCCCGGTGCATGGAGCCTGCTTCTCCCTCTGCCTGTGTCTCTGCCTCTCTCTCTCTCTCTCTCTCTCTGTGACTATCATAAATAAATAAAAAAAAACTTAAAAAAGCATGGTTTGAGTATCCAATTTCAGGTATTCATACCACATGTCACATGGAAGATTCGTTAATGTAGATTTTAAAATGTCCTGTGGCTGCACCTATGGCTATTCTGATAGTTGGGGGGGGGGAGGGGAGGAATGCTGTTACCTTGTCACTTTAGATACTATAAATTCCCACTGAGATATCTACTCTGTCATCCAGAAAATGCTGGGGCTGGCAAAACTGCCTTTGCCAAGAGCAGGAACAGAATTTTCTAGATTTTCTAGAAAGGTCCTGAAGTGAATTTTCTTTTGCTTTAGCTCTCCTATAGCTGGTCTCCCATATTCTATCAATTGTGACAGTGTAGTTAGTCAATACATAGCCATCCTGAGTCCCAAATATTGGATCAGTTCCTTGATGGGCTGTTTTCCCCTGCTTTGTGACTGGGCCTTTTGAAAAGGTGAGCCAGACAAGATACAAGGATCGGTGAATCAGTCTCTTCATCTTGGCAAGGGTGTTAATATATTTGAGCAAACCTAGAAATGTGTACTAACTTTTTACCATTGAGGGTTTATGGGTTCTCTTTCTTCACAGTTGGATTAGTTATAGTTTAATAGCAAAATCCCATTCAGGCTAAAATTAAAAAAATAGTACAATATATTGTCTTGTTAAAAAAGAATCCTAGGTCAACTAGACTTTCCACTGCTAGATGCCCACTTAAGCAGAATTTATATTCCTTTTAAAGCCCTCCCTCCCTCATTGATTCCATAAAGTTTCTAGTCTCACATATCTATTTCTTTAAGATCTCCATTTGGGGGAATTAGGAAAACAAGGGGAAAAAAGAGATCACTTGCCAAGGATTAACATGAAATGTATACGTTTAAGTAAATGTGCTTTGCATGGTGGCTTGCAAAAGAAACCACCCTGACCATGTAAGCAGTGCTGGCTTTATATTAAACGGTTACTTCATTAGCCGTTTTGTTGGGTATCCATTGCAGTGGATAGGACTGGTAATTCTCATGTATCATTGTTAAGGTATAATGTCAAGCAATTTAATCTCCTGACAATGCTTTCTTAATTCTCCAAATACTTCCTCCCTCTAGGTCCTTAATACTCAAGCATGGGGGAAAAATAGGGGGTTTTCCCTATGGGACTTTACTGGCTTTGATACTTATTTACCTGTAAGTGTTAGAGCTGAGAGCCTGGGGCTGTATATGTCTATGTGATTTTGAACAGAAGCAATGACTCGTATTCTCAGCAGACTAAGACATTTCTCCACTTCATAACTATCGTAAACCTATATATACTAATACATTCAGGGAAGAAAATCTAACCCTTAAAAGTCTGCTATCACCGAAATTGTGAAAGGAGAATCAGACAAAACCGTTTATCCTCAAAAGATAGTAAAATAAAGTTAGGAGCACACACAGAATAGTTAACCTATCTAGAGGCTTGTTCCAAGGTAATGCTCACCAGTTGTATGGAAGTTTTCCATCCCTCTCCAAAGATGCAAAATTGACAAAAGTTCCTGCTCCGCATTCCCTGTTTGAAAGGAACCACAAAATCAAGGTTACTGCTTGACAAAGCACTCTTTGACCTTGACATAAAAGAAAGCTTTTACTGGCTTATCATCATAGGATTAATTTTTTTTTTAAAAAAGCAAATATAAGTTCCATGTGTTGCTCTTTCATGTTCAATGCAAAATAGAAAGATAAAATTTTTTTTCATAAGGCTGCACATGCCCTAATCAAGTTAGTTGAGGCCAAGAGGATTTGGTTTACAATCTTTTCCAAAGGGCACTCATGATCCTAACACAAATCTTTGAACTACTTGGGATGTAATATTTTTTACAAAGCCTCCTAGACTGAGGATTTTCTGTTTTTAGCACATATTCTTTGTGGGGTGGTTCTTAAAGCATTTTGATTTCCTCTCTAAAATGATGATGGATCAAGTTGGATTACTTTTTCCCCCACACATATTCCCCTCATGTTGGGATGCCCATGTGATTTATCACTTGAAATGAGAGTAAAAAGAGTGATACATATTGAAACAGATTGGCTTATGCAGTGCCTCTTACACAAAAGGTTGCTAATTAAGCTTCCAGTAGAAAATATTGTTAATTTTTTCCCCCAGAAGCGGAGAACAAAGCTAAACATCTTCTCAGGCTTTCTTCCCCTTTCCCTAACGTCACAGACAAACAACACAGCTCACTGGGGCGCATGCATCTCATTTCCTTCCCCCAATATGAAATTGATTGACTTCCTCAGAATTGAAGTAGAGATTTTGCCACTATTGGCACATCTGCTAATCACTTTAGCTACCTGCCTGTTCTCATTACAGTGTTCTTTAAATATTTATTTATTTATTTATTTTAGAGAGAGAGCATGAGCGAGAGAGCACGCAGGGCGGAGAGGTGGAGGGAGAGAGAGTCTTAAGACGACTTTGCACTGAAGGCAGAGCCCTAACCCACTGTGTCACCCAGGTGCCTTTTATTATAATGTTCTAAAAACAGTTTTCTTCTTTGAAAATTATGCTAATATATTGCTATATCATGCTGTGTTATACGCTACCCATCATCAATTTTTCTCTGTCAATTTCCCATATATAAGATTTACTTTGCCCTGTAATTCAGGGGTTCTTATTCTGGGGTTCAAGGATAGAATTTAGGACTCCATGAACATACTGGGGGAAAAGCACATCTTGTTTTCACAACCTCTAACTGAAATTTAGCAATTCCTTTAATTATTAAAGTAGGCAACAAGCCACAATAATATCATCAGTACTTGCGAGATTGCTAACCATGGAAACTGCAGATGTTATTCCGTAATGGACCTGCTGCAGATATGGAAATATTGTTCACATTTATCACTCTGATGAAATTTTGAGTTATTAGACACCCTACTACATATTATCTAACATGTTAATAAAAAAGCATGTAATGAATTTGCTTTTTAAGTACTCTGATAACTATATTTTAATATAAGCAATTTCTTTTTAATCCTATGTATTTCATTTTATGCACTTAGAAAGAAAATATTATTCTTGGAAGAGCGCCACAGGCTTATTCAGAATGCCAGAAAGGATCACGGCACGAAAAATGTTAAGAATCTCTGCTCTGATGGCCAGCTGGCTGAAGTAGAACCACTTCTAAGTATCTTGCTGTATGCACCACAAAGAACGCTCCTGTAATAATAGTACCCTCATAAATGCCATGATTTCCATTACCACACCTACTACCACCCCGTCCACGATTACTATTAAAGTTAACATTTGTTGCATGCTTCCCAATTACAGCATTATTGCTCCTAACCATCCACTAATGCAGGGGCTATTCTCATTTCTTCTTGATATACATTCTTTCTCTTGCTTCCAGGCTATATACTCTTAGTTTTTCTTGAGCTCCACCGGATGCCTCCGGCCAGTTTCCTTTGCTCTTAACTTTTTTTTCCTCCCTGAAAATCTCAATATTAGATTGTCCTGGTGCTTAATCCAGGGTCTTCTTCCCTCAGTTACATGCTCTCCCTCCAGTGATGGAGAATTTCATCCAGTCTGTAGCTTTAATAGGACTTATATGTTAATAACTCCCAAATTTAGATCTTCAACTCAGACTTTGCTCCTGAATACCAGACTTTCATGTTCAGTTGCCTACTCCACACCTACACTTGCAGTCATCTTAAACTTAACATTTCCAAGACCAAAGTCTTAACATTCCCTGCTCCCCACCCCCCCACCCCCCCCCCCCAGTTCTGAAATCCTCATCTGCAATTTCCTATTTCTGTTAATGGCAACTCCATCCTTTCGGTTGCTAGGACCAAAAGTCTTGGAGTCACTTTTAAGCCTTCTTCATTTTCATTTCACATGCAATCTGTTAACAAATCCCCTTAGCAAATGCCTCTTTTTAAAAAATATATCCAGAATCTGATCATTTCTCCCTACCTTTATTGCATGACCCTAGACTAAACCGTTACCATCTCTTGCTTACTGTAATGGCTGCCGCCGTCAATACGCCTGCTTTGCCTAAACACAGACTGTTTTCTAATGTAAGTTGTCTCTTCTGCCCCAAGTTCTGCAATGGCTTGACTCAGAATAAAAGCAAAAGTCTTTTTTAGGGCTTACAAACCTCTATGCGATCTGACATCATCTCCTGCTATTCCTGCCTTCATTTCCTCTGCTTTAGCTGCACTAACCTTCCTGTTACTGTTTGAACATGTTCCTACCTCAGGGCCTTTACACTGGCTCTTCCCTCTACTGGGCATACCCTTCCACCAGAAAACACGTAGCTAACTCTCCTCATATTCTTCAAATATTTTCCCAAATATCATCCTTTCAGTGAGACCTATGCACCTCTCAGAGCTCCTGTCTATACTCCACATACCTGTATTGCTAATTTCCATACCTGTACTGCTAATTTCCCTTACTCTGCTCTGTTGTTTTTCTCTTACTGTCTGCTAACATACCAAGCAATCTTTTTACTTTTATCAGTGTTATATATTGTCTATCTCCTCCACTAGACTATGAGCTCCATGAAGGCAGAAATTATTGTCGGTTTGATGTACTGTCGTATCCCAACCATCTGGAAGGGTCTGACCCACAGCAGGTGTGCATTAATATTTATTAAATGAATGAATGAAGTTTCAGTGGACTGCACAAGGTTACATAGATTGTAAATTAGGATTTGATCCCAAGGAGTGTAATTTTACAGCTCTCTACTCTGGTCATCTTCCTCCCTATACTTCTAAGGTTTGTTTAAAAGCTGACATTCAAAAAGCTTGATTTTCATATTCAGAACTAATTTCTCTATATTCATAGACTACTACTTTTATCTCCTTTCTGGGGCAGGCCAGTTTATACCTTTAAATATATTCATTTCTGTATATATCTCCAGCTACATTCTAAGTTCCTAGTGGACAGCTTGGATGTCTGATTTTTACTTAAATGTGCCATCTAAGACACTGATTAGAACATTGGATGGATAAATTTATTTTTGAACAGGTAAATGATAGAGCTCTGAGAAAGAAGAAGGATGTTGATTGACAGTTCAGCAGGCTAACGCTGAGTAAAAATAAATTCAAATCAAATTTCCCAAGCCCAGTAGTATTCGACTAAGCAACAGTTTTTAAGAGAATTGATGGATTGTTCTGATAATATGGGGGACCACGGAAAGTACTTGAGAAAGTGCTTTGATAAGAAATGCATCAGTGGTTAAAGGAATAGGGAATCACTAAAATCATAAATCAGAAGTCTCTTCTAGCTGCAAGAAAAATGAGAACTGCCTGAACTCTGAGTAGTAGGAACAAAACTAATAGGGGACCTCAAATGGACCTAATCATAAACCCTACAAATGTCTTCTGATAAAACAGCTTTGGCAGAATTGATGAAGAGAGGGATTTCTTTTTCTTTCCTGTGGTCTCTTATATTCACTCCTTTTATTAATCATACTGAGTAGCCAGAGATCTTTATTTTACTCCAAAATCTGTTTGAAATAATCCATTGCATTAATGGATCCCTTTGTATGGGTTTCCTAAAACGACAAGATTGAGAGTAAGCTGTCTGAATCAGTGTAAACAATCCTCTGCATGGTCATTTCAGTGGCAGTGTTTCCTCAAATAATATTTAAAAGTCTACTTAGAAAACACACAGAACAGACACTGGAAACTGAAATTGAACTTACTGCTATACAATTTAGGTCTGCAAAAGCAGACATGTAGGATAAATTAATATATTTTAAAGCCCTTGGGTAAAAGAGCAACCAAATTTACCTTGCCATCTGCAGATGTTTTTTCCTAAGAATGATAAGGGTCACGAGCAGCAGTCCAATTAACAGTGTGCTGAGGATGGCCAGCACTGAGATGACTACCACATTGGGGTTCATTTCTGTAACTAAAGAGAAAAACCATGCATTTTTATTACATGAAATTAACAGAACTGCTCATCATTTTCCATTGATTTTCAACAGCACTGGACTTGTAATGATGACAATAACAGCAACAATGATGTTCCTCCAAGCCGACAATGACCTCCTCCTGGTCAAATATAACCTAGTAAAGTAGACTGACAAATGGTGTTCAGGTGCTTGGCACAATGAATCCATCAAAGGCTTACATTCAGAATGTTCTTAAAAAGGAAAACTATAAACTATGAATAATGCCTGTACCATAGTTTAAATTCATTTGAAAATTTAAAAAAATCTAGAAGTCATCATCATGTATTATTACTGTTTAATATTTCCAGAAGTTTAGAGAGTGTCTGGTTTTCATTTTACGCCTCTGACTTTAAAGTCAGAAAGCACAACTGCATATTTCGCTCACAACTAATAACGTGTATGAAAAAGGCATTAGCGAGCTACCATCTGCCGCAGCACTTAACACGTCGCTAGCAGCAGGCATTCTGACGATCTGTAACCATATGTTGAGAGGTTTTCCATCTGCACAACTCAAGAGATCAAACCTATTAGTAAGTTGTGGGGCCCTTAAGATGAGGGACTGCGTCCCTTCCAGGTACTTGATATGAGGACTGCTACGGCACCTGCACATTGTGCAGTTCATCACCCTACATGGAAGAGCGAGGTATTAAAAGAGGGAATACATGTCAAATGTTTTTGTAAAACTCCTAACCAGAGATGGACCAGAAAAAGGCATCATGATACCATCCTCTGCATTGATCATAAAATCACAGAACTGGCCGGTACGTTCAGTCTCTAAGACTTTCTGTATTTGCCATGGCCTATTTGGGCCAGCACGACTCCTGTTCACCAGCAGAGTAATTGAACAGAAAGAACATTAGACTCATGGTCAGGAGATCTTTTTCAAGTTCATTTGACTACTGACTGCCATTTGGAGAAGCTATTTTGTCTGTCTCTCTGGGCCTCATTTTCCTCACTTGTAAATAAGCTGAATAATATCACCTGTTTCACTGGGTTGCTCTAGTAATGACAAGGAACAGTGAGCAGGAAAGGATACTTAGGATGATGTACAAGGACATAGAGGTGAGAGACCACTAATACACTTTTCAGGTCCATTTTTGTCCTCTTTTCTGGAAAAATAAAAATTTAAAACAGAAAATAAACAAACAAAAGGCCAGTCTAGTCATCACTGAATAGAGTGCCTAAATACATGATGAATGTGCCAGAAATGAAAAAAAAAAAAAAAAAACACCCAGTAAAGGGATCATGTGACACTGAGAGTAGTTATATTACAGGTGACTTCATGGAGGGTCTCAGGTTGCAGAGTCAGACCCCAACAAATGGGGGAGTAACACGTATAATATTAACTCAGAAGAAGAAAAAAGAAGCACCATTATTCTAGACCTTTCATTAATTGCAAATTTCCCCACTTGTAGTTTGCCTTAATAGGAAACTTTCCTGCTTTAATTCAGGAATTTAGTACTGTCATTGGTTGATCAGTGATGGCTAAGGGTCAAGGCGACAACGGATGAGCCTGAGTCCATCAGGACACTGTGGTTACTGCTGGAGAGGCAGATGAGGACCTTGGGTCTGATGGTAGCAGTTAGCGCTCACCAGCATGTGCTAAGGCTTTATACACTTCACTTCTATGCTTCAGAACAGTTCAACGAGGTACGTATATTATGATTCCAGTTTTACAGATGAAAACACAGAGGTTCAGAGACAATAAATATGGTTCCCTAAATCACATAGATAGTAAGTGCAGTGAAGGGTTCCCTGACTCCAAAGCCTGGACTGCTTCAGTGGAACATGGTTCTATTAAAAGGATAAAGTACATATATTTGAAAAGAAAATGGGAGGAAAACCTGGAAAGATAAATTTTCCAAAGACACCAGATCCCACGAACTCAAGTAATTACCCATTGTTGAGACGGCTATGAATGTGGGGACACTGGGGCTGTCGTGGCTGAAGCTGGTCACACTACAGTTGTAGGCAGTGGCAGGAAGAAGGCTGGAGATGGTCACAACGTGAGAAGAAACAGAAATCGGTTCCTGGAGATGCAGAACATAAGATGGCTGTTATATCATCTTCATCTATTTTTTTTTTAGAGTCTTTTTCAGAGCTGAGTGGGTAATATACAAGTAGAGGAAAACATTTAAAAGATGCAGAAGGATAACAGTGAAAAACATTTCCTTCTTTTCCTGCCTTGTATGTATCCAGTTCTCTTCTATGGAAGGAGCTGTGGTTATTAGGGATTTTTTTCCCTTCCCATCTATATTTTATGGATGTAAAAACATTAGATACAACTAAACAAAACCTAAGTGATAATGTGGTTTACACATCATGCTACTTATATTTTACCTGGTTATTAGTGTATTTTGGTGCTCTTTTCACATCAGCACAGAGAAGCTGATTTATTCCTAAGTGCTGTGTAGACATTTACTGAAAGGTCATACTTTATTAAACCAGTCTCCTACTGAGGAATGTTTCAGTTGTCTCTGATTTCTTGCTATTACAAACAATGCTACAGTGAACATAATTTTAGGTTATGGGAACAAACATATATGGACACACACTCGCTTAATATATTTATATGTGATGCATGTATACACATACATATTCTTTTTTTTAATATATTTTATTTATTTATTCATGAGAGACACAGACTGAGAGAGAGAGAGGCAGAGACACAGGCAGAGGGAGAAGCAGGCTCCATGCAGGGAGCCGGATGTGGGACTCGATCCCGGGACTCCAGGATCATGCCCTGGGCCGAAGGCAGGCACCAAACCGCTGAGCCACCCAGGGATCCCCTACACATACATATTCATACACAAAACCAGTGTGTGTGTGCATGTGCACATGAATGTACACATATATATGGGTATTCGTATTCCCAGCAGTTAAATGATGAGTCCAAAAGTTTTATGTTTTTCATTTAGAAAGCTATTGACAAATTCTTTTTTATTTTTCATTTTTTAAAGATTTTATTTATTTATTTGAGAGAGAGAGAGAGCACAAGTGTGCATGACAGAGGGAAAGGGAGAAGCAAATTCCTTACCTAGTAGGTAGCCAGAAGCGGGGGCTAGATCCCAGGGGCCCGAGATTATGACCTTAGCCAAAGGCAGACACTTAACGAACTGATCCACCCAGGCACCCTGACAAATTGTCTTCTATAATTTTCCATATTATCCTGCTGCCATCAATGTGTGACAACACCTGTTCTCCCCTACACTCCTTCCAATCCAATATATTTGTAAACTCTTTGAGTTTTTCCAATATTATTAGTGGAAATTGCACCTCATTGTAGATTTATTTGGCATTTCTTTCACTGCTAGTGAACTTGATTATCTTTTCATATGTTTAAGAATCTTTGAGTTTCTTTTCTATGAAATATTTATTTTGGGTTCTTGGTCTTTATTTTTTTTCTATTTGTAATTGCTCTTTGTATATTAAGGACACTACCCCCTTTGTCTGCTTTCTCAGCTTTTTTTAAAAAAAGATTTTATTTTTATTTATTTATTCATGAGAGACACAGAGAGGGAGGCAGAGACATAGGCAGAGGGAGAAGCATGCTCCCCACAGGGAACCAATGTGGGACTCAACCCCAGGACCAGGGGATCACCACCTGAGCCAAATGCAGACACTCAACCACTGAGCCACCCAGGTGCCCTGTTTTCTCAGCTTTTAAACAGCATCCACCAAAGGCACAGTGACTTTGTTCTCAAAAGCATTTAATATTAAACTATTCTTGAGCTGAACAGATTGTTAGTTTGATGGGCTAATGGTTAGACCAGTGACAAGTACCACAGTACAATATAAAAAGATGAGCCAGCATAACATTCTTTTTCAAAACAGGGATGTGAAACACTCCTGCCTAAATAAAAGAGAGACATCAGCACTTATTTCCAATTCCACCTCTTTTACTGTTCTATAAAAGAATGGTTCTAAGGAAAGACTTTTGCTAGCAAGACTCTCATTGTAGTAAGTAGCTGCATAACCATTGTTTTCTTAGGGGAAGACATTGCTATAGCTGCAGAGAAGAAAATCCGCTACTGGCAAAGCAGTTATTTCCATAAAGCATTCTTAGAATAGAAAAAAAAAAGATAAGCTGCTCAGTATAGATCAAAAAGAGATAAGTTTGTACAAGAAAATATCAAAAGGGGAAAGAAATCAAAGCAAATTATCTTAACACTCGTATGAAAAGATTCCCACTCCCCAGAAATCCTTTCTTCTTTTCAATCTTATGAACTGCATTATTAAAAAGCATCAATTATTCATGTTCATAGAATTAGTCTGTACACTGGATTTTGTGACATCCCTCACAAACTTGACCTTTTCCTTCCATGTCTGGCTGAAAAATATTTTATTCTGGTGGCTTTGTTACATTTGGAGCTACTGGTTCATCTCTTTCCTTTCCTTCAGTTTGACCTGGTGAATAACTCAGCAGTAATTTTATCTGCGATTTACGATTTTAAAGCTTTAACAATCATTTCTCTCAGCCTTCATTTTACCAAGCAAAATTGTCCTCCTTACTGACTAGAAATAGTCCCTTCTTTAAATTCTCTTAGTAGAATGGATCTCTCTATGCCACTTGCATTTTACTTTAATTATTTCTAGACTGATGCAATATCTATAACTGCACGAAAAAAATGTTAAAGCCAAGTATTGATTCTGCCATTTGTATCACACATAGTGCCTTTCACATAACTGGCAATCAGTTCATATTTGTTAAACTGTATTTTATATGGCAGTGTCTATCCCTTTGATCGATTTAATGGCAATAGGAAAAATGAATCCATTTCAGTTCTCAGTATGACCCGGGGTGACTAGGGGTTAGGGACAAAAGATAAATGCAAAGATGAAACTAAACTTTGCAATTTGGCAGATTGGTTCTTATATTTAAGTCTTGCTGTAAGCCTATTGTTAATTTCTGTTACTGAAACACAAAAGTGCAAATGAACACTTTCCATTTTCCGTAGTTTAAACAAATAAAATACTTCGATTTACTCAGATAATTAGCCTTAACCAAAATGAACTCAGACAAAGAGAATAAAAATGTACAGTACCTGGAGTTTTGTTTCTTGACTAGAGCCAACTTGTTGACAGAAGACTTCAAAGAAATCAGCCACTCCCTCCTCCACCCACAGCAAAGTCACTGAAGTCTGGGTTTTATTCACAGCAAACAGGGATTTTGGAGGAGCTGGTTCTGAGCAAAGACAGAGTTTTAAAAATTTCATTTAATTTAATGCATCCTTTCTTCTTTCATTGATTGGCAGGATAAAATAGACCAAAAAAAAAAAAAAAAACCCAACCCAAAAACAAGTAGTTAAGAGCACCATCGAAATTTTATATTACTTTGAAATATGTCCAAACACAGTTGTCACCTAACTTGGAAGACAGAATATTTTGCCTTCTTCTCTCCCTTCCACTTTATACTTCTCTTTTTGGAACACTTCTGTTTTCTACTTCAGCTTTATTATATATACATAATCTATTAATAGTTTTTGTTTCATCTGCACTGGAGCTACACTGCCCTAATAAGACAGAACTTTATGCAAGAGAAACAAAAATTTGTACTTAAATGGCTAACACAAATGAAAATGGTTTGCTCCCACCTAATGGAGACATCCAGTCTGGTACTTAGCCAAAAACCTGTCTTCCTTTTCTGGAGACCATTTGGAATAATTTAGTCAGAGGAATGGCTTCTTGAAAATGTAGTCAAAATTAAGAGTGGTAAAGCTAAATAGATACGATTTTTTTTTTAAGAAAAGGATTCATGGAAGGAGACTGGATAGTTAATAAAATGTTTAGGGGACTGATTTCTTTATCATATTCTTTTAGACATTAATCTTGATCAATAAATTAGTCCATTAGTCAAATAAACGATGCCCCTTCATACTCATTTCCAGTAAGTGAGCCAAGGGATTTGTTGGCCTAAGACCAAACCCCTGCTTGTTCCTCAGTGTTAGGGAGTGTCCTTGTGTCTTGTTCCCATATTCCTCAATCTCTTCTTCTCTCCTCCCCATGCCCTGTCATTTGGGTGTTATCTCCCCCTTGAATTCCTCCAGTACACAAAGCACTATGCGTGAACCCCAGCACAGCAGCCAGAGTCCCTGTTATCCTGTCAGACCTCCTCAACATCACTTGTTTGGACATATTATATCTAGCTGTCAGGTTCATGGAACATCATACTTTGCCCACGTGAATGTCCCTGTCAGACAACTATCCCTGCTGTTTGCCTGTTACTTGGATTTGTTTTTTTTAAATTATTTGTCCCATGCTCCCAAGTCTGTTCTCTAGCTCCTGGATTTCAGTAGTGCTTGAAGAAGCCCTCAAGGCCATTTCACTTCTTTGACATGTGGGCATCTTTGTGTGGGCAGGTTTGGAACGTCTTTCTAGAATATCATCATCATGGCCCTATTCAGAACCAGGTAGTATGTTGGAACATTCTTCACCTGATTTATCACAGGCAACTTAAATTTTGTGCCCAACTAAAAAAGGAAACATTCTTTTCTTTCCAGAGGCAACTTGATGAGGTTAAGCAGAAAAGTTGAAGGAGGAAAGAGAGGGGTTTAGTCTTGGGTGGGCATAATTTACAACAGATGTCAGGACCCCTTTCTCATTTGCAATGAATCATATACTCCTCCAAATGTTGTACTGTCTCACTTCCCCTCTGATGAAAACTGTTGATGAAACATGAGGTCAGCTTCCATTTCCCTCATCCTTTATAACTGTCACTAGGTATGAGTGAGAGAGGGTAGGTTCTCCAGTGATTCTGACTTGTGCAGATCTTGAATCTTTGGAGGCAAATGTGAGGTTGTCTGGGGTAGAGATGGATGATTTTTAGGCTGAACCTTGGTTATTTCTCTTTTCAAATCACACATGACAGAAATGCCCCTCACCGTGAGTCTCCTGAACTGATTAGATTCCCTAGGATATTTATGTATTTTTTTTCCTGATGGTTAGATAAATTCAGTTTAGCTATCCAATATGAACATTGCCCAAGTCCTAATCTCCAGCTCCAACTTTTTTACATATGTATTTGCAATCACCTACCATCTGGGCTTCCTAAAGAGCACTACCATCCTTTCCTTGTTTGAGGTTCTCCTCTGGCTTCTCAGACCCTACACAGCATATTTTTAAATAATTCTTGTCATCTCTTCCTTTTATCTATTCTTTTTATTATATTGCATGTTCAGGCTTTTGTCATCACACTTTATCAATCATTACAACAGCCTCTTAATCCTTTTTCCTGCTTTTAATCAGTTCTTTCTTCATTTGTCAACAAAGACTTAAATAATCTTGAAATACCACTTTGCTCATGTTAAATCCTATCTGTGTAATAATCTATTGTGATCGATGTCTATTGCACCGAACTTAAATATGCCAAGTTTTAAAGATCCTACTCACATGGGCCGCATGTTATCTACCCAGCTTCACCACCATCCCTCTCGAATAAGAAATGCTTGCTTTGGTAGAGCCAATTTTCTCATACCAGCAGTACTCTTTCTCAATTCTGTGTACTTTTTCTTCTCCTTGGATCATCCTGAGATCAAGAAAAAGTCTTCCCTTCTCCCTGAAGCCTTATCTGTTGACTCTGTCTCTTGATGATCTATCTCTTCGCTGACCTTCTATTAATCACCCTATTAGATCTATGTGAGCAAAGTCCTGATTCTTCTAGGTCCTATTAGATTCTTTAAGAATCGGGACCATGTGTTATTTTGCTTTCACCTTAAACTAGCCACCTGCAATTGTTCAATAAATATTATCTATTGACTGATTTATTTATTTATTTTTAAGATTTTATTTATTTATTCATGAGAGACACACACAGAGAGAGAGAGGCAGAGACATAGGCAGAGAATCAGGCTCCCTGTGGGGGGAACCTGACGTGGAACTCAATCCCAGAATCCTGGGATCACTTCCTGAGCCGAAGGCAGATGCTCAACCTCTGAGCCACCCAGACATCCCTCTATTGACTGATTTAAACCATAGTCAAGATTAATTAGTCAGAGATATTAGTATTTAAGCATCAGGCAAGACCAGACACATTAGAGTTAAATTTTGATGTCCTCTGTCTTTTCTACAGTGATCAAATTGGTAAAATTATCAGCTTTTTGTGGCAGAGTAAGACTCATGAATTGCAAGTGTTCTCAGTGGTCCAAAGAATGTGACTTGGATACTAGAGGAATGGTTTCTGTGGGTCTGCCTAAAAATATGGATCTACGTGGTAAGTAGGATCCTCAGGAAGATCTCCAAAGGGGCTGGGACCCTTGACCAGCCACATGACAGAATTTTCTTTTCAGGTGATATATAAGGGCAACAGATTATGCCAAGGTCACTTTCCCCATTACCACTGTATCCTTTTCTGAAAGACATATGCATATTAGCTCTATAGGTCAATGAATAACATACACAAATCACCTGCTTGGGGACTGGTTAGGATCTTTGTGATAGGTATATTTTCTTAGATGTACTGGAGAGAATTTTCACTCAGCTAGTCCAAGGGAAACAAAGAAAGGCACTGCAATATTTCATAAGTGGAGGTGTAATTGGATTGGAAAGGGCTTCTAATTAAATTTCACTACTCAAGACAACATCTGCCCCAGGAAACGTATTAAAATGTTAGGACTGTACTGTCCAACACAGTAGCTATTAGCCACATGTAGCTACTGAGAACTTGAAATGTGGCTAGTATAAATTGAAAGGAGCTAAAAAAGGGAAATACAGACTGAATTTTGAAGGCTTGGCATAAAATAAGAATAAAGATATCTCATTTATAATTTCACATATCAATTACATGTTAGGATGATAGTACTTTGATATATTTGGTTAAATAAGGTATATTAGACTCAGTTTCATCTCTCTCTTTTTAGCATTTTGTAATGTGATACTAGAAAATTTTAAATTTCATATATAGTTCTCATTATATTTCAATTGTACAGTACAGAGTTAGAGTACTCCTTCCCGTTTGGTAGAGCAGAAGTGTGGAAATTCTTGACAGAAGCTGGTTGAAGTTTTCCCCCTTCTGTTATCTATCTCCTCTCATAAGAAGGCAAAGTCAGCTAAACTCCTTGGCCTAGTATGATTTAGATAATTCCTCTTTCCCATCCTCAGGCAGAAGACCAAAAGGGAGTAGTGGCTAAAATATTGTTCAGGCAACTTCATATGATAGGGAATGCAGTGACATGCAAAAGCCTTTTTATTGGTCTCTACCTCTATTAGGGGATGATTGTGTTCCCCAAAATTCCTATCTTGCAGTCTTAACCCCCAGCACCTCAAAAATGTGAATGTGTTTGAAGATAGGGCCTTTCAAGAGGTAAGTTGAAAGAGAGAAAATGAGTGGGAAATATCAGAGAGGGAGACAGAACATGAGACTCTTAATTCTGGGAAAGGAACAAGCGGTGGTGGAAAGAGAGGTGGGCGGGGGTGGGGGTGACTGGGTGACGGGCACTGACGGGGGCACTTGATGGGATGAGCACTGGGTGTTATGCTATATGTTGGCAAATTGAACTCAAATAAATAAATAAATAAATAAATAAATAAATAAATAAATAAATAAAATGAAGCCCTTAGGGTGGACCTCAATCCAACCTGACTGGTGTTCCTACAAGAACAGGAAATATGGGCAAAGAGACACCAAAGATGAGTGGAAACAGAAAAACCAAGTGAGGATACAGCTGGAATGTGGCCACCTAAGCCCAGGAGAAAGGCTTCGAAGAAACCAAACCTGCTGATACCTTCATCTTGGACTTTCAGCCTTGAGAACTGTAAGAAAATAAGTTTCTGTTGGTTAAGCCACCCAATCTGTGATATTTTGTTATGGCAGCTCTAGCAAACAAATAAAGGCCCTTACTAGTCAAAATATCAAATACAAGGGTACCTGGGTGGCTCAGTGTTTGAGTGTCTGCCTTTGGCTCAGGGTGTGATCCCGGGGTCCTGGGATTGAGTCCTCCATCAGGCTCCCCATAGGGAGCCTGCTTCTCTCTCTGCCTATGTTTCTGCCTCTCTCTGTGTCTCTCATGAATAAATAAATAAAATCTTTAAAAAAAATCAAATATAGTCCAGCTCATCAAAGGCAGGGGTGGGAAGACCTCAATGATTTATGAAGAGCAAATGAGCTTTAAGAGAATATGCACAAAACACTTTATATGATATAAATGGCCAAGTGGATATTAGTTACAGAACATCCTCTTGCTATCACTT